GTGTTCTACAGGGCCCCGTTCCACAAAGCCATCTTACCGCTAAGGTGATCGTAACTCCCATACTTTAACACTCACTTACGATAGTCATAGCGCTAAGATCACTTCGTGGAACGGTGCCCAGGACCCTTAGGCTTTACACTTAAGGTGATGATGACACTACTGATGATGTAGAACTCGGTACCATTGACGACATGCTTTCTGGATATCTATCTCCGGGGTAATACCTTCAGATATATGGGACGACTTAACATACGAACAGACATGGTATCATACATTCACTACTGAATTGCCCAAGATCTTTAACTATCCGATTCTGCTTAGAGATACTTGTAAGAATTAGTCTTCAGGCGAATCATACGTCCTGTGATGAGATTATGAGGGTTATATTGAATTTTACTTATCGCATACATGACGACACTTTCAAAGACATGTTCGAAGGGTTTACTTTGATCAGAAACATTATTCTTCAAGGTCAAATTGTTGGTTCTCAGACTCGCTCCAAGAGAGCATTGCTACCTTTTATTGGAGAATTCTCACACAATAAATTTGGTACTGCCCATGACAGTGACATGAACATAATAAGACAATATATCAATATCTTATAAAAAAGAATGAGAGCTGGAGAAGCAGCTTTTAATGTGTCACAAGATTACATAGGTTTGTACATTCATATCTAAGGCTAAAGACAAAAGTGGAAGGTGTCCTAATGGATGAACCTGCTAGTTATGATATTCCAGCTTTTAAAGTGGCTAATCATACTTTTTCAAAAATAATGGGTGATGATAAAAAGATAAGCATTAGTCTTCGTAGAGCTGTAAAACTCGCAAAATAAAACAAGATAATCTACATTGACCCAACCGATCCTTTTTTTATGAATGATTGGACTCCAGTAGGAGAGACTCAATGGCTATCAATAACCTCATATGTGATTTAGGGATACTTCTTTGGACTTCTACTTTCAACTACATGGGTATTCTGTCAAGAAGGTTAAGTGTGCTAATTTTTACCATTAAAAACCTGGCAGATATCAAAGCAATGTTTGATATTAATATTCTATATCATGCAGGACTGAGGAGTGTTGGTTATCTTTGCCATGGCAGTGTACATTATTATGAAGAAAATGAGGAATTCTAAGACCTATTTGGAAATAGAACTGGCATCTTGAACTAAATTTACTCGCTTTACTTTGGCTACGATTCCAGTTAGTCCATTATATCTTAGAAGTTTAGGAACAAACATGATTCCACAACAATCTCTATTACAAGATGATTAGTGAGATTTGACATTATTCTGTCATGGGGCTCTTATAAACAAGCCGAGTTTGATAAATACAATCACTAATGAACATATAGAGTTACCCATGAAGGTATCTCTACCATGGGTTAAGGCAGGTAGACTGACCAGAATGATGGATTAGGACTACATAGCAAGTGTTTCTCTGATACATGGGAACGTACAATATCCCATAGTTGTTAACGAATCGGGTAGACCCTCTGCTCCACTACCTTGTACCACCGCTACTCAAACAACTGCTGTTAGGGATGTAAAGTTAATCTATCCATCGGTTCCGCAAAGACCAGAGAACACTGAAATGTCACAATTTTAGGAATTCAAGTGACCTCAGACATACTAGTGTCCTCTTGTATAAATGTTGATGTTATACTGTATTCAAGATGTTACCTTTACTACATGTTTTATGCTTTTGTGCTTACCTGTATACATTTTATACATAATATATATGAATGGGTATACCTACCATATGAGAAAAACATGTTGAATTTCATGAGAGAAAATCTATCTGTTATATGTTACCAGTATGTTGCATATGGTGCATTGCATTGCATTGCATCACAAGAGTTCATTGATGTTTGAAAACGTATACTGTATCAGAGCTCCAGATAAGCTTTTGGTGTTGTGGGTATTTTATCCATGCATTTTAAAATCATTGGGTATTAGTAATTCTATCTGGGTGTTTAAATTTCTGTTACCCACTAGTTTTTACACATGTGGGTATTTAAGTTAAATATTTAAAAACACTATTCATCTAGTCCCTGCAAACTGGTGTCGTGTGGGTTCGAGAGCTTTATAGGACTCAAAAATACCACGATACTTCCACAAGAAAGTGTGATGGCAAATGATCATGATGTAACTGTCATCGTGGAGTTTGGCAAGGTTGACGGAATGCCCCTTTATAATTTCAAAATAAGTTGCTGATTTGCTAATCGAATACGCAGGGTTACTTCACAATATTTTGATGACACGCACAAGTTTTATTTTTGTAGCGTATCTGTAATGTTCGTTGCGTATTTGATACGCTTGGATTTTATTTTACTGCGTATTTCTGCATTTCTGATACGTATTTTACGCAGATACGCAGCTTATCTGGAGCTCTGGTATGTCCAGTGACTTTACAATAATATGATGTTGTTTTGATGTAAAAAAACCCCAAACTATTGTGATTGTTGAGTCAGGTGAGATGTTGTTTGTTTACTGTGTATAGATGCTGAAGCTAAATTTCAACATTTACTTGAGAAATTATAAGAACAAGCTGTTGTAATCTTCAGTTAAAGAGGACTTCATGAAGTGTAATGCATGAATTTTGGACAATTAACCCTTTTGGACATCAGAGATCGGGCAGTCAAAGATTTCCTGTTTTGTTTTTTTTTAATTTTTAAGTTACATGTATTTGCATTTGTACGCAAGGTAATGGTGATTCATTTTTGTATTTATGCAAATACACAGCTTGGCTGGAGTTCTGTGCAGCAAGGCAGACATGTCAGTTTGATATAATTTTATGAGGAGGTTAGTTTTTATATGTACAACAGTGGGGAGTATATTATATAGTGACCCTGGAGTGCCAAAATATGAAATTAGTACTACGTTTATGTTACATGAACTAGGCCATGCATTGCACTAGAAGCTGCATATCAGCCCATCAGTCGGGGCATGCATGGCTACAGTATCATCATGTGTCGTTCATCATGTCACATGCACAAAAATTAGAACCAGTGTGAATTTTTTGGCAAGAAATATGTAATCATGGAAAACTGCAAATATCAATTTGTCACATCAGATTCACATTCAGAATCAGAAAATCAGTAAAATTTATGAGAATGTTCATGTTTTCAACAGAAATTACCTATATGCTTAAAAATGACAGGGATATGAATCATGATTTCCCGTGTGCAACAGGGCTCTTGCAAGGCAACTCAGGGGAGGCCTTTGGAATTTAACCGTGCCTACAGCATGTACAAGAAGAAATACTTTTAATCTTTCATTAAGCTCTTAGAATGTCATTTCACCATGAGCTAGGTAATTTACAAAGTTTTCTACCTTCCTTTTCATCAAGATTGATATTGCCCTTTTCAATCTGTGAATCCCAAACTTGTTTGTGTCCCATGTCCTTGTCTTGTTTAATGATACTACAGTAAATTTAGTACTGACTTCAAATTATCTGATAATAAACATCATCACATGCTACTTTGAAAACAATCGTTTCTTTGTGTGCTCTTCAGGTGCACAGAACCTTATTTTAACCTATCATTGAAACTACCTTTTGGGTCGGGGGCACGGGTGGCCCAGTCATCTGAGATGCCGAGATTCACTGTGCAGAGTTGTGTCCCTTGGGCAGGCAAGAAACCTGTGATTATGGGTTTGAATCCGTTAGCCCCGATTATGTTTCTAGGTTTGTCAGCACCATACCTGTGCCCATAGGTTTCATCCCACGTCATGATATAACTGGAATACTGTTAAAAGCAGTGTTAAACCACTCACTCACTCACTCACTCACTCACTCACTCACTCACTCACTCACTCACACTCACTCACTCACTCACTCACTCACCCCAGTGTTGATTGAGCAAGCTGCACAGTTTCTACTTAATGGGGCCGTCACACCATGACGTTCTGGTCAGCGTTCTATGACGTTTGAGGAAACGTTGGTAGTCGCCCATGGTCGATGGGATAGCGCCAGAAGAGCGTTGTGTGAACGCTAATGAACGTCGGTGATCGCCGGGAATCGGCGGAGAACGCTGGTCCGGAAAAAAAGTTTTGAACATGCACAAAAGTTCTCACTGAGACCAGCGTTCTTCAACGTTTAATTTTAAACGCTGAAGAACGTTTAAGAACGTTGCACGCGTTCGGCTATCGTTAGTCAGTCGTTACTCTAGCGTTACTTGGTTGTTACTAATCGTTTGCTTTGCATTGAACGACTCACTGGCGACCTGTCAACGACGGCTGAACGGTCCCCTAGCGCACGCAGCGTGTGACTAAAGTCAAACACGCCAGCAAGACGCTATTCTGTCGTTATTCACACGTTAGTCACACGCTCAACACGCGCGTCTAACGTTGACAAATCGTTCGTCGCGCGCCAGTGGCACGTTAGCACACGCTAATGGTTTTCAGGGGTATCTCACTTGGTCGCTGTTACACGCTTCTCGTGCGTTAGACACACGCTAGTCATGCGTTAGGCACACGTTAATCACAAGCCAGATGTGTCATCCTCATTCTAGAACGCTCAAAAATTGAACGATTGAAATGTTCAGAGAACGTTGACCAGAACGTCATGGTGTGACGGCCCCTTAAGGTATGCTCCATGTGCTACAGTGCTGCATTGTGATACACTGGTAACCAGTTGCTCCATGTGCTACAGTGCTGCATTGTGATACACTGGTAACCAGTTGCTCCATGTGCTACAGTGCTGCATTGTGATACACTGGTAACCAGTTGCTCCATGTGCTACAGTGCTGCATTGTGATACACTGGTAACCAGTTGCTCCATGTGCTACAGTGCTGCATTGTGATACACTGGTAACAAGTGGCTGTCTGGTGTCTCTTGATTATTCATTGGCTGTCATGATGCATGGAGAAGATTAGCGTAAAACAACATTCACTCAGAATAACTTCAAATTGTTTGTGTTCGTCTAGCTTTCTGGTTTAAATTATTGACAATATGTTGTATGATGTTAATTTGCTACAAATATATAATTGTTTGACTTCAGATCGCTATTACACAGACAGACATGAATGGGTTGAAGTGGAGAAGAACATAGGCACAGTAGGAATCTCAAACTATGCTCAGGTGAGACATGTCACTATATATAGGCACAGTTGGAATCTCAAACTATGCTCAGGTGAGACATGAATTATATAGGAACACATGGAATCCCAAACTATGTTCAGGTGAGACATGTCACTATATATAGGCACAGTTGGAATCTCAAACTATGCTCAGATGAGACATGTCACTATATATAGGCACAGTTGGAATCTCAAACTATGCTCAGGTGAGACATGAACGATATAGGAACACATGGAACCTCAAACTATGCTCAGGTGAGACATGAACGATATAGGAAGACATGGAATCTCAACCTATGCTCAGGTGAGACATGAACGATATAGGAACACATGGAATCTCAAACTGTGCTCAGGTGAGACATGAACGATATAGGAACACATGGAATCTCAAACTGTGCTCAGGTGAGACATGAACGATATAGGAAGACATGGAATCTCAAACTATGCTCAGGTGAGACATGAACAATATAGGAACACATGGAATCTCCAACTATGTTCAGGTGAGACATGAACGATATAGGAACACATGGAATCTCAAACTATGCTAAGGTGAGACATGAACGATATAGGAACACATGGAATCTCCAACTATGTTCAGGTGAAACATGAACGATATGGAAACACATGGAATCTCGAACTATGCTCAGGTGAGACATGAACGATATAGGCACAGTTGGAATCTCAAACTAAGCTCAGGTGAGACATGAATGATATAAGAACACATGGAATCTCAAACTATGCTCAGGTGAGACATGAATGATATAGGAACACATGGAATCTCAAACTATGCTCAGGTGAGACATGAACTATATAAGAACACATGGAATCTCAAACTATGCTCAGGTGAGACATGAACGATATAGGAACACATGGAATCTCAAACTATGCTAAGGTGAGACATGAACGATATAGGAACACATGGAATCTCAAACTATGTTCAGGTGAGACATGAACGATATGGAAACACATGGAATCTCGAACTATGCTCAGGTGAGACATGAACGATATAGGCACAGTTGGAATCTCGAACTATGTTCAGGTGAGACATGAACGATATAGGAACACATGGAATCTCAGACTATGCTCAGGTGAGAAATGAATGATATAGGAACACATGGAATCTCAAACTATGCTCAGGTGAGAAATGAATGATATAGGAACACATGAAATCTCAAACTATGCTCAGGTGAGATATGAATGATATAGGAACACATGGAATCTCCAACTATGTTCAGGTGAGACATGGAACGATATAGGAACACATGGAATCTCAAACTATGCTCAGGTGAGACATGAACGATATAGGAACACATGGAATCTCAAACTATGTTCAGGTGAGACATGAACGATATGGAAACACATGGAATCTCCAACTATGCTCAGGTGAGACATGAACGATATAGGCACAGTTGGAATCTCAAACTATGCTCAGGTGAGACATGAATGATAGAGGCACAGTTGGAATCTCGAACTATGCTCAGGTGAGACATGAACGATATAGGCACAGTTGGAATCTCAAACTATGCTCAGGTGAGACATGAATGATATAGGCACAGTTGGAATCTCAAACTATGCTCAGGTGAGACATGAACGATATAGGCACAGTTGGAATCTCAAACTATGCTCAGGTGAGACATGAATGATATAGGCACAGTTGGAATCTCGAACTATGCTCAGGTGAGACATGTTACAATCATTCCACCTTAGATGTGGGTTCATTTCCCTACTTTGTGAAAGCCATTGAAATCCATGGGAGTCTAGGGTTGAATAGGTATAGTCACATTCATTAGAATTCATTTTGAGACAGACCTTTTTGTTCACAATAAGGATACTTACAGGGATTCTGGGACCCGTGAAGATTCCCCGGGGTTGAATAGGTCTTCAGCAACCCATGCTTGCCGTAAAAGGTGACTGTGCTTGTCGTAAAAGGCGACTAACGGGATCGGGTGGTCAGGCTCGCTGACTTGGTTGATGCATGTCATCGATCCCAATTGCGTGGATCAATGCTCATGATATTAATCACTGGATTGTCTGGTCCAGACTCGATTATTTACAGACCGCCGTCATATAGCTGGAATATTGCTGAGTGCGGCGTTTAACAACAAACCAACAACAACAACAGGGATTCTGGATTCGAATACAGGTCCCCAGCAACTAGGGCTGTAACAATTCACCATCATTGATACTTAGGAGCACACGATACTTGAATTTGCTGTATATGCATGGCGATATGCAATGAAAAGAACAGGAACTAATAGTTATCTTCCATAATGGCAGAAGTAGCATAGCGCCACCTGTAAGCAGAACACAAGGACGTGGTAGCTGAGGATGTGCCATGTAATAACCATCCCTTCATTTAAAACTCTTTTTTTTCTCGTGATTTTCATTGTTAAAGTTTTTGAGATATCAATCCATAAATGTATGAAGAAAGAGGTTTTAGAGCTGTATTTCAGTGATTTCATCATTTCTTACTATTTGATGTGGTGTATCGTGATACCTGTTGTATTGTCAGACTATCGTGATACCTATAGAATCGTCATTCCATATCATGATACAAATGGTACTACCTATGCTACTACCTATGCTTGTCGGCTGGTTGGTTTGTTGTTTTACACCGCACTCAGCAATATTCCAGCTATATGACCGCAGTCTGTAAATAATCAAGTCTGGACCAGACAATCCAGTGATTGATATCATGAGCATTGATCCACGCAATTAGGATCGATGACATGCTTCAACCAAGTCACCGAGCCTGACCACCCAATCCCGTTAGTCGCCTCTAACGACAAGCATAGTCGCATTTTACAGCAAGCATGGTTTACTGAAGACCTATTCTACCCCAGATCTTCAAGGGTCCTATGCTTGTCATAAGAGGTGGATTTGGTGGTCAGTGTTTATAACTTGGTCATCGTATGATCCCAATTGAGTGGATCAGTGCTAATGACGTCAATCACTAGATTCAATTATTTACAGAATGCCTTTGTTTAGCTGGAAGGTTGCTGACTGCAGCATTAGACAAATCACTACAAGCTATATTTCATTGTACAGGGAGCATTATGACAAACATCTGAACCTCTGTCCTGAATGAGAGTAGTTGCTCACTGACTGTTTGACTGTTGTGTGTTTGCAGGAATTATTGGGGGAGGTGGTGTACGTGCAGTTACCCGAGATCGGTCAAGAGTTTACCAAGGATGGTAAGGATGTTCAGTTACACTTCACATCTCAAACATAGTGAAAGAACAAATAATAAGTTAATGAAAAGCAATTGGTACTATGCATGCTACTCCTGTACCCCGTCATCAGTTTGGTAGACAGGACAGAATCAGACACTGTTTGGCTGAGACAGAGGATGTGTCACACATCACAATACGCTAAAGTGGCATGCAGCAAACCCCAAGCCATAACCTGACAACAGTGCAACAGAATCCACATGCTTCAGGTGGCCCCGTTGTCCCAGATGCCATAATTGGCTGTGCAGAGTTATTTGCCTTGGGTGTGATAGAAACCTAAGATTGTGGGTTCAAATCCTGGTTATGCTCCTTGGTTTGTCAGCACCAAACCAGTGCTCATGGTTTTCACCTCTGATTTACCTCCCACATCCAGCTGACACCCCTTAACTGGAATAGTGTTAAAGGTGGCATTAAACCTAACTCACTCACTCGCCCATATGCTTTAGCCAAATGGTTGATTACCATATTAGCATCGTGAGTCAAATATTAGTCCACGCATTTTTAAACTCGCTTTATGGATCTGCTGAGTGCAAATTTTGTTGCAATGGTTAAAAAACATTATTCTGAATTTGCCCATTTGTTTGTCCCATCGGTAAGCACCGAAAAAATATCTCTTTAACAAGAATCCACTATTAACTATTTGCTGCCGTGTTTGATAAACATACAAATGTGGATTTTCATGTATAAAGGTAAAGGAAGAGATTTTATAGATGTCGACTTCTTTATTGTGAGGAACATGTTACTCCTTCATCCAGTGATACTTATTCCTTCTTTGTCCTGATTGAGGAGTAAGTATATCCTCCGAAATGTTGTGTTCCTCATACTAAAGAAGTTGACATCAATAAATTCTCTTCCTTATGGGTGTGGTGGGGTAGCCTAGTGGTTAAAGGGTTCGCTTGTCACTCCCAAGACCCCGGGTTTGATTCCCCACATGGGTAGAATATGTGGAACTCTTTTCTGGTGTGCCCCACGTGTGATGTTACTTGAATATTACCAAAAGGGGCTTGCTCGCTCACTCACTCACTCACTCACTCACTTACCAAAAGGGGCTTGCTCGCTCACTCTCACTCACTCACTCACTCACTCACTCACTCACTCACTCACTCACACACATGCATGCATGTCGCTATATAAGTGCAATAATCTTGGACGTGACGTTAAACCCTATTTCACCTCACTCACTCACTCACTCACTCACTCTGCCTTTCAAAGACTAGAAAGGTAAAGAAGCTTTTGTTATACCAGCCTTCTTGTAGCATGTGTAGTGGATGAGAAAAGTAAAAAAATCTGAATTGGTGGCATATTTTCTTTTGTAAATTTCAACTACCGACTTGTATTTTCTGGTAAAATATCTGTCAAGCAAGTGAAACGAGTATGGCCTTACCATGTATTTGTGATGGGTATGTGATACCCAAAGTCACATATTGCTTGCATTGTGAGACAATTATCATAATTCAGGAATAGATGAATTTGTATTCTATCACAAAGATGTGTTCTTTCTTTAACTACAGGGTGAAAGTTAAGTAATTTATGATATCAAAGTATTTGGATTAATATTAATTGAACCATTAGTTTTGCTCGCAGATAATTCATGTAACCGGGACCAAAGCACTTATTTGTATCCAGTAGTTGATTATATTAATAAAAAGTCTGTGTGACTTCTGTGGTGATAGGTATGATAAGATTATTAAGGGGTGCTATGTATGTGCCTTATCATGTTTATATCGAGGTGTCACTGAGTGCTGGCAGGTGATCAGCTGATATATGTTTCTATGGCCAGTGTAGTGGCGTGGTGTATAGACATAATTTCCCAAAAGTAAATATCAATTTAATTTTTGCATTGTTAACAATTTCTGTTTCAAGTGTGCCCTTGGAATTGAATACTTTTGATCACTTGTCAAAATTTGTGTACAAATTGTGAATCTAATTTCACCTTGAGCAGTTGTAATTAAGAATACAATATTTTCTTGAGTATAGTGCATACCCGAGTATAATGTGCAACCCCCTCTAGCGAATTCAGTATTTTGGAAAAAAAACACCAAAACTCATTATTGTTGTATAAAGCGCATCCCCTTCTACTCGGCTGTGTTGTTTTTTTAAAAAAAGTGTCCACTATACTCAAGAAAATATGATATGGATCATTCTGTTTCAATGAGATTGATAATGCTGTTCCATTTCTGAATCCCATGGTTTCTGTTGTGAATCATTCTGCTCATTAAGTGTCATGGTATGCCATTACCTTGTACTTGTTCAGTTTGCTTGTATGAAACTACATTTAGCACTGGCTTCAAATTCCTAAAAGAAACGTTGTCAAAAGATATTTTGTCTTAGAAACAAGAATGATGTATTAGTTTATCCTTGATTCACTTCAGTAAATTCCGACTGTTCATGACACTTCAGTACAAGCAATTTCGAACCCTGTTCAGTTTGTGTGACTATTTTATTAAGCTTGCAGTGGTTGTTGTCAGATGAAAGTGGCAGTCTGGAGAGTGTGAAGGCAGCCAGCGAGGTGTTCAGCCCGGTGACCGGCAAAGTGACGGCTGTCAATCATCTGGTTGAAGACAAGCCCCGTCTCATCAATGACTCCCCATATGATAAGGGTGAGTTTACTACCTGCAACCTGTGGGGATTCCGATTTCTGTTTGGTCCCCATCAACCTTTGCTGGTTGAAAGAATGCCTTTAAATGGATCAGGTGGTCAGGCTCAGTGACTTGGTTAATTCATGCCCTGATCACTTCAAGCTTTTCCCCTACATCAAGCTGACATGCTGTCATAAAGCTGAAATGTTGCTCAAAACCAGCTCACTCACTCACTCACTCACTCACTCACTCACTCACTCACTCACTCACTCACTCACTCGACCGCATCCGTGGTCTCGTTGTAGAGCGTCTGCCCGGAGAGCGGAAGGTCCGGGGTTCGATCCCCGGCCGCGTCATACCAAAAGACGTTAAAAGATGGTACTTGTTGTAACCCTGTCTGGCGCTCGGCATAAAGGGGCTAAAACAAGGACTTGTCGGGTCGGAGTCAGTATACTGTGTCTGAGTGGGGTATTCATGTTAAACTGCGGCATGGTATCTCAGTGAGCTAGCACTATAAATCGGCATCAGTCCGGACTAGTACAAGCAGCCACACACACACGTGCATGCACGTCGCTATATAAGTGCAATAATCTTGGACGCGACGTTAAACCCCATTTCACCTCACTCACTCACTCACTCACTCACTCACTCACTCACTCACCCTCTCTTTTCCTTCCATTGTCAGGCTGGCTGTACAAGATGGAGCTGACAGACCCCGATGAATTCAAGGCCATGATGGATGAGGCAGCATACAAGAAGTTCACGGAGTCTTCCAACTAAGTGGGGAAAAATAAAATTACATCTCACAAGGGCGGGGAACCACTGTTATGTTCTGTCATTCTCACTTTCCATTAACTGTCACACAACATGTGTCACATTGGTCACATTATAGGCAGGTTGATGGACTTTTCATGTTCTTGTCTGCACACGTTCTGATTTTTTAGAGGGGCGGTCGGGTAGCCTAGTGGTTAAAGCGTTCGCTCGTCACGCCGAAGACCCGGGTTCGATTCCCGACATGGGTACAATGTGTGAAGCCCATTTCTGGTGTCCCCCGCCGTGATATTGCTGGAATATTGCTAAAAGCGGCGTAAAACCATACACACTCACTCACTCTGATTTTTTAGTAGATAACAACAAGACCCCGAAGCAAATATCACAGTCCTTATGGAAGAACTAATAAATCCTTAGTGGGTTAGATGGGCCAGAGACTTATGATCATGGGTTTGAATCCTGGTTCACTCTTTTTATGTTTCTAGGTTTGTCAGAATCCAATCTCATTAAAATCAGACCTTAGTCCTCGCTCCCGCTAAACAAAGATCTGAAGGCATCCCATTAGGGGTCACGTCAGAACGTCCTTTCATCCGACCAATCAGAGCGTCGCTTACCAGATCATGAAAGTGACAGTCAGAATGTGATTTCTAATCATACAACCTCGAAAACTTTAACACAGGGTATTCCGAAGGATAGTTATGGGTTAAACTACTGAATCCATACAATCTAGTCCATCTATAAGCCATTCCAGAATGCTCTTTTGTTTAAATTTCAAATTTGTAATCGAGAATTTGTCAAGATATGTTTCGAAGCGTAGTCGCCAATTTGAAATTAGTGCCGTAAAGCACGAGAAAGCTGCCTTATGATTGGTCATTCCATTGGTCGGTCAAAGTTCGTGCAAAGTCGGTCTGATGTGACCCGTAATGGGATGTCCTCAGATCTTTGTTTTGCCGTAGCGAGAACTAAAATCTGATTTAAATGAGATTGGTCAGAATCATACCTGTGGTTGTGGGTTTCACCAAAGTGGTAAACGTCTGTGACCTGCATCACTTTGGGCTTTCCTCCCACATCAGGCTGATTCAACTGAAATACTGCTCAAGCCCTAAACCAAACACGCACACCTAAACTCTCACTCACTTATTTAGTTATTGTTCCATTCGGCTAACACTTTAAATTTTCCAATCCTGATAATTTTGTAGCGTAAATTATCAAATTGTTCAAGGTTTGTTTGTTTGTTGTTTAACGTCTCAATCAGCAATATTCCAGCTTTATGACGATGGTCTGTAGATATTGTGTCTGGACCAGAAAATCTAGTGATTGAGATCAGAGCATCAATCCACGCAATTGGGATACGGTGACATGCATCAACCAAGTCAGCGAGCCTGACCACCCAATCACGTTAGTCGCCTCTTACGACAAGCATAGTCGCCTTTTACGGCAAATATGGGTTGCTGAAGACCTATTCTATCCCGAACTTTCATGGGTAATATTCATCAAGGGGTCATTGTGACAATAATTAACATCTACTGAACTTTTAGTTGTTGTTATTTTTCCTCTTGCTATTGTATGTTCACCAAGATCTGTACAACAAGAAATATGAGTGGTCTGGTATCATTTTTAACAAAACAATATGTGAAAACTTAATTTGTGCTGAAACATATTAGCAAGATTTTGCATTCATAGCACAATGACTTGTCACTTCTAGTGACTAGAAGGGGGCACGGGTGACCCAGTCGTCTAAGGTGCCGCGATTCGCTGTGCAGAGTTGCGTCCCTTGGGCACGCCAGAAACCTATGATTGTGGGTTCGAATCCCGGTTCGCCCCAATTATGTTTCTAGGTTTGTCAGCACCATACCCGTGCTCGTGGGTTTCACCGAAGTGGTATAACTGGAATACTGTTAAAAGCGGCGTTAAACCCAACTCACTCACTCACTCACTCACTCACTCACTCTAGTGACTAGAGAAAAACTCTGTGGCACATGTTGTGTGTACACCATGTTATCTGAAGGGATGAACCGTTGATATTGCTTGGGGTGGCTTGGATGTTTTAAAGAACAATTTGTTCCAGAAATTACAGGAAAAATATGGAGAAATAAACTATGTCGGTACGCAGTTATCGAAAAGTGACAGCTGTCAGAATATCTGTCCCTTAACTAAAAGCCCAGGCACGCCCCATAAGAATATTACATAGGTGGTCCCTAGATGATGTCTTCACATGGTAGAAGTGTACTCATACAATATTATTGACTGATGGTGATTGTAACAGTATTAGGAGCCATCTGCAAGTAAGATAGAATGGCGTTTTATAAAAAAATAGTGTGTTTACATTAACCTGAGATTTCTCTTTCCTTCTGATGTCATTGTATCAGTATTGAGTCAGAATAATACATTACTGCCTCATTACAAAATCAGTATTTTATTCTGAACTATTTGATGATTACTCAGGAATGAATTTGAAAACATTCAAGGGCATTCCTATTTTACTTTTGAGCAAAACGAGTGAACAGCAAGGTATCACTGTTAGTAGAGTAAGTAAAAAAGTGATGTTTATAGATGGCATATCTTCCAGACAGAAGAGTATTGGTTGACTATCACACTTGTTTTGATGGTAGCTGGCCTTATAATCATGGTAATTGTTGTTTCAGGGGTTTGTAGATTGGTGTGGCACACAGACCGGTGAACTTTCCTGTCAAGAGGGTTCCTTGCTTAACGAATGCATTGTGTTATCAACTTCTATTAATGTGATTGTGTAATGGAATCAAAAATAGAACCACAAGGCTCTGTAGTTCATCTGCTTTTTTGTCAAATATTTGCAGCATCAGATTATGAAGAGGTAATAAGACGTTAAACAAGGATGTGCAGTAATAAGGGACGCAAGTTTCTACATAAAGACAGGACAGATATTTCATTATGATACATGCTGTATACATTATATGAGAGATTTTTGTATCGGAGGTACACATAATTATGTTATATTATTATATTGATATGACCCTTTCTTAATCAAAAATACATGTATTAAGGAGATATACATTCAATGTAGAGCTAGGTTTCCTGTAGATTTAACCACACTAAATTTAATTTGGAATTTGAAAGCATGTAGCACAGCAACTTTGTATGCTCACATGAGGTGGGCACCCCGAAAGAAAACTAAGTAAGCCTTGCAAACGTTTCAATCTACACTGCATGTTGCCATTATGATGTCATATCGTTCATTGTGATGCAATATATATGACGTCACTGTCACATATGGAAAAGAGCCAAATTGCAAGCTCTGTGTTGTCTTCAAAACTTGAAATACATTCACTTTGAAGATTTCTGTCGTGTTTTCTGCACGAAATGTATTTCCTAACATCCTTTGAATATTGTAGAAACCGCAACTTTGCCTTTTTGTAGCCTATGATTGTACATATAATTATTTATATGTGTCTACCGACAATGACTGTAAAATAAGTATTATTCTAACATCAGCTTCTGTGGTGATGCTGCTGTCAAATCGGCTGTTTCAATCAGAGGAGGTTTATTGTGATTTGATACCTCAGATTGACCAATAAAAATCGAGTATTTTCCAAATTTCTTAGTAGAATTGTGTATAGTATTTCAAAACTTTAATTACAACGACATGAACATTGTTGTGTCTTGGTCAAAAAAATAATAATGAACATAGTACATGTACAAAGACAAAATACTAAGTGATTTTCTTTTTTACAAAAGTGTCGTTTTATGTTTTCTTGGCACATGATCTCCTTTTATCATTCATTGGTGATATAACATGTTAGAACTGTTGTTGTTTGCCGCCACAGTAGCCCATCCCCGGTGAGAGAACATCAGGATTGACTTTACTTTGCTCAATTAACCATTAGCACTTGTAAAAGCTTGTTTCTTTTGAAATATATGTCATGGAGAACCTAATTTGTTAACAAATATTTTTTGATCATTTTCTATTCCATTGGTGAAGATAAAGCACTGTTTATGCTCTAAAGCCTTGTGCTAAATGTTTTGAATGTTTCTTATTAGAATATTATGTAATATTATTTTGGTGGAAAAAAAACAGAGTTAAAGGATAAATTTTGTGGTTTATGCTGACAGCCTGAAATGTTTATATACGTCAGATATATTTTTCCAGAATTTAATTGCCCATAATTAAGGGTGCATATAATAACACACGAGTGCGTATTATATGCAAATAAATAAGTCTTGTGTACGTTGATCAATCCGAAGGGGTGCTAATTGGGATTGTTCACTAGCCAATATATTAGCAAATATTGCTGTGGGCGCTTATTAGAGCGGGGCGCTTATTATGTCGAATACGGTATATTTACTTGTCCTAATTTCATTGATTTCCTTAATGCCCTGCCATTTGACAATGAGAATGTTTCAGTATCAGCACAACCATTGTCTGTTCTGCCTGGACACTGACACGAGCACTACATCCAGACCGACCCCTCTGCATACATTGTATAACAAGAGCATCAAAACCTGTTCCATATTCATAAGAAATCTCTGCTAAACACATCTTCCATTATACAATTCCGACTATATCACAATCATGTATTTATGAATCACTATCAGACAGTGATGATACCAGGTGTTTGCGAAAAGGTGAAAGTATCAAGCCCTACCAGAGGTACATGTCACAAACACATGCAAAGGCAAGCCAATTGAAAGTCCTAATCTTGAGAATCTTGTGCTAATATTGGACATACTGAATGCCACACTAATTTTGTTCCTTTTCCATGAATAATATTAAATGACATTATGGACATTAATGAACGCACAAGTTGTTGAACTAAACAAAATATTAGCTTTGTTATGTCATTATGTCATTATATCTATCCGATGACCCCTGCCGTGCTATTGCTGGAATATTGCCAAAAGGGGCTTAAGACCATTCTCACCCACTCACTCATAATGTCAAACAATACTAAGTTCTTACACCTGTTAGACACCTGTTACAGTTTTACATTTGGTGCATTGAACAGTCTTTTATGAGGTTTTTGGTGTGTGTATCAGTCCTCAAGGATACGATAAGCATAATTTATTCTGTTTCTCTAGTTGATTTGTTGACACTCAAGCAAAAAATATGGACAAGCTTTAAGTATTCAAGGCTGATAAAGCAATTAAGTCTGTAGTGTAAATTTGATTTGCCTCAATTTCATATAAAAATAAATATACATCTTGATATTTGTCTTCAGATGTTTTTTGAATGGTGTAAGAGAAACCTTGTTAAAAGCCTTTTTGTTGTATTCACAAGTCGAGGACCTTAAGTACAAACATTAGCATGATCAAGTTGAGCTTCTCTACCTCGTTGACTTTCCTGAAGTTACTTACTTGGATGATGGCATGTTACTGTAAGGGTACGCTATTTTTCATGGCGTTATCATTTGCAGAATCCCGAGGTCTTCCATTAACTGCCTGATGAAGGAGGGCAGTTGATAGTAGCGAGGGCTTCTGCTTATGATTATGCCCTGAAAAATAGTGTTACCGTTGTAATAGCTAAAATGGATAGAATTTGCTATCAAATAAAAATAAACAACAATATCGGTTTTGAAACATTAACTGCAATCAACACACAACAAATGTCACTGACCCACTTTTACAAATATGGAAATGTCATAGAACAATTTGTTTGATAGGCATTACTAAGAAGTTGATGGGTGACAAGGTAGCCACAATTTTATGGATAACAACTTCTTTAATACTTTAAAAAGGGGGCACGTTTCGGTATAGATCATTATACCTTTGTCAGTCTTGGCAACAGTATAAGGATCTATACTGAAACATCATCTGGTTTGTTCTATGACAAGGTAGACACAATTTTATGGATAACAACTTCTTTAATACTGTAAAAAGGGGAGACGTTACGGTATAGATCATTATACCTTTGTCAGTCTTGGCAACAGTATAAGGATCTATACCGAAACATCATCTGGTTTTTTCTATGACAAGGTAGACACAATTTTATGGATAACAACTTCTTTAATACTGTAAAAAGGGGAGACGTTACGGTATAGATCATTATACCTTTGTCAGTCTTGGCAACAGTATAAGGATCTATACCGAAACATCATCTGGTTTGTTCTGTGACAAGGTAGACACAATTTTATGGATAACAACTTCTTTAATACTGTAAAAAGGGGAGACGTTACCGTTGACAATGAGGGTGGCCTGCTCATTTCTGATAACATGGGCGGTATAATGATAATTCTGTCCATTTTAGCTATAATGTAGCTTCATGTACACTTATATCATGTCTTGAATGACATTCAACAACAGGGTGTGTTAATGGTGTAAGATCTATACTGGTATGTCAGTTTTGAAGGTCCATACAGATTTGAAAAAATGAAAGTATTCCATATCTTGTCATGTATGACATTGTTTAGTCCGCATGTGATGTTGGGGTGAGTAGTTATGTTTCATATGGGCAGCAATGTTTTTGTGGCATGTGAGGCAACCTTGCCCAATTGAAATGAATAATGCTCATTTCAGGGCCATCATTATGATCATGGTTGATATATTCATGAATTCTTGTTTATTATAACACAATGTGGAGTGTAACAGATGGTGGAATTCACACAAAGTATCAATGGTTTGTATTGTTATGTATGTGGTATGACCAGCTTTTTGCTGAATTGTAATTAAATCCTCAGGAAAAACTAAACCAAAATAATGCTGGCAAACATTTGCATAATTATTAGTTTCTGGTATCAGCAGCAACACAATTGTTGAAATAATAAGCACCTATTACATGTCAGTGTTCCTGAACAATATTTCAACTGGCGGTCTTAGTCTTTTTGGTCCTTTATTCTGTAGGAAATGGGGTGATAGGGTAGCCTTTTGGTTAAAGCGTTTGCTCATCACATCAAAGATCTTGGTTTCGATTCCCCACAATGTTTGAAACCCATTTCTGGTGTTCCCTGCCGTGATATTGCTGGAATATTGCTAAGAGTGGTGTAAAACCATCCTCACTCACTTGTAAATGATTTGGCTGATCAGGTTTAGAATGTCAACACAACCATAAAAAAATATATCTATACATACAGAAATTCAGTATATGTTTCGGATACTGATTTGCACAAAGAAGATAATGTGGATTGGTTTGAGATGTACAGTGTACACTATCAGTTAGGTACACTCTGTTATATATGCATAGATCTAGATGAAGGAAATGTGTCTTTATACAGGTCGAATCTCACTGTTGATGTTAGTTGACAAGCCATTATGTATAATAATTTTGTGTTTAAGGAGCTTACAATTGTTGATGTTTAAGAGCTAATTTATAATATTAGTGCCAAATTAATTACCTCGGGTTTTTTAGACAAATCAAACAGTACAAATAAGAACTGTCTGGTCTTGAGATTCTGTAAATGAAGGAAGTAAACATATTGTACACGTATTGGTATTGCCAGATGAATGCATTTGAGGAAAGGAATCACATGTTTTGCAGGATCTTGTCACACTATTTATAACACTTTATATTTGAGTTGAAGTTGATGTGTTATGTGGTATGGAATTTGAAATGTATAGTTCATATGGTATTCACCACAATGTAGTTATATGAAAGATACGAAAGCTTGAGTTATGTTCAGGGAAATCCATTGACTGGATGGTATTTTGTTCTCTATTGTTAAGTGGATGTTTTTTATTTGACTGATTTCATATCCCTTTTCATGAAACCATTGACTAGATGATTCTATTATGAGTGAGTGTTACAACTACCTGTGACGTGAGTTAATACTAGTCTTCATGAGAAGAGATTTTGTTAAGGGTGAACTTCAAAATGTGTCATAGTCAGTTAGATATGTACATCAGGATAAATAAAGTGTCATTTACACAGTACTTTGTATGTTGTTTTGTATGAGACACTGGACAATGGTTGAAGACATGGAAAAAGCCCTGTGTTAAGTAATGTGTGTTTCAGTGTGTGAGTTTGATGGACATAAATGTTAAGTAATGTTGTGTGTGTCAGTGTGTGAGGTAGATGGACACAAATTGTTAAATAATGTTGTGTGTGTCAGGTTGATGAAGAAAATGTTGAGTGATGCGTGTGTCAGGTTGATGGACAAACATGTTAAGTAATGTTGTGTGTGTCGTATTGGACAAAAATGTTAAGTAATGGTGTGTGTGTGTTAGGTTGATGGACAAAAATGTTGAGTAGTGTAATGTGTGTCAGGTTGATCGAGATAAATGGTAAGTAATGTTGTGTGTGTCAGGTTGATCAACATAAATGGTAAGTAATGTGTGTGTCGAGTTGATGGACAAAAATGTTAAGTAAAGGTGTCTGTGTCAGGGTGATTGACAAAATATTGAGTTGTGTAATGTTTGTCAGGTTGATGAGAAAAAATGTTCAGTAATGTGTGTGTCAGGTTGACGGACCTTAATGTTAAGTGTTAGTGTGTCGGGGTGAAAGACAAAAATGTCAATTAATGTTGTCTGTGTCGAGCTGATGGACAGAAATGTTAAGTTATGGTGTGTGTGTCGGATCGATGGACAAAAATGTTCAGTAATGTGTGTGTCAGGTTGATAGACTTAAATGTTAAGTAATGTGTGTGTCAGGTTGATGGACTTTAATGTTAAGTGTTAGTGTGTGTCGGGGTGAAAGACAAAAATGTCAATTAATGTTGTCTGTGTCGAGCTGATGGACAGAAATGTTAAGTTATGGTGTGTGTGTCGGATCGATGGACAAAAATGTAAAGTGATGTGTGTGTCGGAATGATGGACAAATATGTTAAGAAGTGTTGTGTGTGTCGGGTTGATTGACAAAAATGTTGAGTAATGATTTATCATTATTATTATTAACTTGCTATTTATATAGCGCTAGTTTCCAGACTGCCTGCTCAAAAGCGCTCTTGAAGCTCGCCCAGTTGGTATGGCCGTATATATTTTGCTGAACAAGTGTGTCTTCAGATGCTTTTTGAAACTGTTAAGTTCACTGAGGATTCTGAGTTCTTTGGGCAGATCGTTCCAAAGAAGAGGACCAGCCCTTGCAAAGCAGCGATCCCCGTAGGAGATTGTTCTTGATGGTGGCACCCCAAGCAACGATTGATCACAAGGTCGCAGGGTTCTTGTTGGCTGGTAATGTATGATGAGATCCTCCAGGTAGCTTGGAGCAAGACCATGCTGTGCCTTGAACACAAGAACGAGACCCTTGAACCGTATTCTCTGTTCTACTTTAAGCCAGTGTAGACCTTTGAGAATCGGTGTGATGTGCTCACAGCGTTTGGCTCTTGTGATCAATCTGGCAGCAGAGTTTTGTACCCGCTGAAGCTTTTGGATCAGGTGTTTTGGTAATCCTACCAGGAGGGCATTGCAGTAGTCAAGGTGTGATAGCACGCACGCTTGTACAATAGTAGTGGCTGTCTTGGTGTTATGATATGTGTGTCAGATTGATGGACAAAACTGTTAAGTAATGTGTGTGTGTCAGGTTGGTAGACTATTATCATAAGTAGTGTTGTGTGTGTCGGGATGATGGACAAACATGTTTAGTAATTGTGTGTGTGTCGGGCTGATGGACAAACATGTTTAGTAATTGTGTGTGTGTCGGGCTGGTGGACAAACATGTTTAGTAATTGTGTGTGTGTCGGGCTGGTGGACAAACATGTTTAGTAATTGTGTGTGTGTCAGGCTGATGGACAAACATGTTAAGTAATGTTGTGTGTGTCGGGCTGATGGACAAACATGTTTAGTAATTGTGTGTGTGTCGGGCTGGTGGACAAACATGTTTAGTAATTGTGTGTGTGTCGGGCTGGTGGACAAACATGTTAAGTAATGTTGTGTGTGTCGGGTTGATTGACAAACATGTTAAGTAATGTTGTGTGTGTCGGGTTGATGGACAAACATGTTAAGTAATTGTGTGTGTGTCGGGCTGATGGACAAACATGTTAAGTAATGTTGTGTGTGTCGGGCTGATGGACAAACATGTTTAGTAATTGTGTGTGTGTCGGGCTGGTGGACAAACATGTTTAGTAATTGTGTGTGTGTCAGGCTGATGGACAAACATGTTGAGTAATTGTGTGTGTGTCGGGTTGATGGACAAACATGTTAAGTAATTGTGTGTGTGTCGGGCTGATGGACAAACATGTTAAGTAATTGTGTGTGTGTCGGGCTGGTGGACAAACATGTTTAGTAATTGTGTGTGTGTCGGGCTGGTGGACAAACATGTTTAGTAATTGTGTGTGTGTCGGGCTGGTGGACAAACATGTTAAGTAATTGTGTGTGTGTCGGGCTGATGGACAAACATGTTAAGTAATGTTGTGTGTGTCGGGTTGATTGACAAAAGTGTTTAGTAATTGTGTGTGTGTCAGGCTGGTGGACAAACATGTTTAGTAATTGTGTGTGTGTCGGGTTGATGGACAAACATGTTTAGTAATTGTGTGTGTGTCGGGCTGATGGACAAACATGTTTAGTAATTGTGTGTGTGTCGGGCTGGTGGACAAACATGTTAAGTAATTGTGTGTGTGTCGGATTGATTGACAAAAGTGTTTAGTAATTGTGTGTGTGTCAGGCTGATGGACAAACATGTTGAGTAATTGTGTGTGTGTCGGGTTGATGGACAAACATGTTTAGTAATTGTGTGTGTGTCAGGCTGATGGACAAACATGTTTAGTAATTGTGTGTGTGTCGGGCTGGTGGACAAACATGTTAAGTAATGTTGTGTGTGTCAGGCTGGTGGACAAACATGTTAAGTAATTGTGTGTGTGTCGAGCTGATGGACAAACATGTTAAGTAATTGTGTGTGTGTCGGGTTGATGGACAAACATGTTAAGTAATTGTGTGTGTGTCGGGCTGATGGACAAACATGTTAAGTAATTGTGTGTGTGTCGGGCTGGTGGACAAACATGTTAAGTAATTGTGTGTGTGTCGGGTTGATTGACAAACATGTTAAGTAATGTTGTGTGTGTCGGGCTGGTGGACAAACATGTTTAGTAATTGTGTGTGTGTCGAGCTGATGGACAAACATGTTTAGTAATTGTGTGTGTGTCGGGCTGGTGGACAAACATGTTAAGTAATGTTGTGTGTGTCGGGCTGGTGGACAAACATGTTTAGTAATTGTGTGTGTGTCGGGCTGGTGGACAAACATGTTAAGTAATGTTGTGTGTGTCGGGTTGATTGACAAACATGTTAAGTAATGTTGTGTGTGTCGGGCTGGTGGACAAACATGTTTAGTAATTGTGTGTGTGTCGAGCTGATGGACAAACATGTTTTGTAATTGTGTGTGTGTCGGGCTGGTGGACAAACATGTTAAGTAATGTTGTGTGTGTCGGGCTGGTGGACAAACATGTTTAGTAATTGTGTGTGTGTCGAGCTGATGGACAAACATGTTTAGTAATTGTGTGTGTGTCGGGCTGGTGGACAAACATGTTAAGTAATTGTGTGTGTGTCGGGCTGGTGGACAAACATGTTAAGTAATGTTGTGTGTGTCGGGCTGATGGACAAACATGTTAAGTAATGTTGTGTGTGTCGGGTTGATTGACAAACATGTTAAGTAATGTTGTGTGTGTCGGGCTGGTGGACAAACATGTTTAGTAATTGTGTGTGTGTCGGGCTGATGGACAAACATGTTAAGTAATGTTGTGTGTGTCGGGTTGATTGACAAACATGTTAAGTAATGTTGTGTGTGTCGGGCTGGTGGACAAACATGTTTAGTAATTGTGTGTGTGTCGAGCTGATGGACAAACATGTTTAGTAATTGTGTGTGTGTCGGGCTGGTGGACAAACATGTTAAGTAATGGTGTGTGTGTCGGGCTGGTGGACAAACATGTTAAGTAATGTTGTGTGTGTCGGGCTGATGGACAAACATGTTAAGTAATGTTGTGTGTGTCGGGTTGATTGACAAACATGTTAAGTAATGTTGTGTGTGTCGGGCTGGTGGACAAACATGTTTAGTAATTGTGTGTGTGTCGGGCTGATGGACAAACATGTTAAGTAATGTTGTGTGTGTCGGGTTGATTGACAAACATGTTAAGTAATGTTGTGTGTGTCGGGCTGGTGGACAAACATGTTTAGTAATTGTGTGTGTGTCGGGCTGGTGGACAAACATGTTTAGTAATTGTGTGTGTGTCAGGCTGATGGACAAACATGTTTAGTAATTGTGTGTGTGTCGGGCTGGTGGACAAACATGTTAAGTAATGGTGTGTGTGTCGGGCTGGTGGACAAACATGTTAAGTAATGTTGTGTGTGTCGGGTTGATTGACAAAAGTGTCCAAATTTGCAAAGAAATTATTCTTTATATCCCGTTTTGTTCAGCAACTCGCTTGTTGGTATAATTCAATTAATAATACTGTATTGGAACCATTTTTTTGTTTTGAAGACACGTTATATCCACGGGGTCTGCGATTCATCATTTGCCAATCTCTTTTCCCGTCATGTAAAAGGCAAGATTTAGTTCCAATCTTTCACTGTATTTTCGGGATATCGTATTTTTGGGTACCTTATTTAATATATCATAAGGGGACACGGGTGGCATAGTCGTCTAAGGCTGTGCAGAGTTGCGTCCCTTGGGCACGCCAGAAACCTATGATTGTGGGTTCGAATCCCGGTTCGCCCCAATTATGTTTCTAGGTTTGTCAGCACCATACCCGTGCTCGTGGGTTTCACCGAAGTGGTAAACGTCTGAGACCTGCATCACTTCGGGCTTTCCTCCCACATCAAGCTGACACGCCGTGATATAACTGGAATACTGTTAAAAGCGGCGTTAAACCCAACTTACTCACTTACTTAAACCAGTCAGGTATTGAAAGGTCAACCCCACTGAGCTATCTGCATCAACTGTAAAGGGCTAGTGGCAAGACATGACACTACTTTCCAACACTCACATGTCAAAAGGTTGATAAACGCCTTCTTTGCTGGAATCACAAAAGAGGTATGGCACGCTCTTGAAAGAGAACGGCAGTACCGCCAACGTGACGGTGTAGATAACAACCTTGTTGCACCAGTTATCATACCTTTGTGTGATAGTAGAGATTCCGATACGTCATCAGCTAAGTCAGATGCTGGCTCAAGAAATAAACTGTATAACAACAATTACTTCTTGATTACCAACCTTTAAATAATCACCCCGTTTCATTGCATTGAACTATTCCACCATTTTCCCAAGCAAATATAATGCAGTACACAGCTTCATTGCCACCCCATCTTGGCATATCTCACTAAAGTACAATAACAGCAATATGTTGAGACCAACCCCACAACTCAGGTGATATTTGCACTTGTGACAATGCAGGACCGGTGTGTTGTCATGACATCGACCGGGACAGATGTTTTGTATTTACCTCAGGCTATAGGCCACATATACTACTCAAAAGAAGTTAAGGATCACCTGATTCTTTCATATTACTACAGTTACTACATCATGGCATGCCAGATTAACTGTAGTAATATGAAAGAATCAAGTGGTCCTTAACTTCTTTTGAGTAGTATATATTTTTTGTCTATCACCATTTTACCTGTAAAGTACCCTTTCAGGCTAATCACAGTGTCAGTAAGGATAGGCTAGATTAGGTAGATTTGCGTAAGTTTGATGTTTGCTTTGTTCATAGACCTACGATTCGTATTTATTAAATAAAGACAGAAGAGCATTTTTCCTAGCAATCCCAGCAGTAATTTAAATGAAGACTCGAACGGCCACAAACGCCAATACAGCTGATACCGAATAAATTGACACCTTTTTCTGTCAATTTGTAAACTAACTGAGCGATTTAGGCATTTTAAACATTTACTGAAATATATTTGTACAGCCCCAAATGCATACCTTGTAGATTGACTCTGATCTAGATAATGGGTCATTAGTCCATGTTATGAATTTGAAATACATTATTATTTTTCCTCAAGCTATGTTGTGAATCCATAATTGACTGTTCAATCACGTGTGTGTCGCGCGGTTACGGTCGTGCTTTCTGCCGCTATAGCTGCAGCAGTAATCATTGCAGGCGTGTTTCACAACACATCTAGACGTTCCACATGCGTCATCATGAGGGTAAGGAACATTTGATTTATCTTGATTCACATTCGGCTTCATTCCAAAAAGAACTTCAAATGCATCATTATACTGTTTTAAATCGTTTGCGCACGTTGCATATTTGAGATACTATCGGCACCTTTATGTTTGGAATACATAGAGAAACAAACCGATTCAATGAGTCGTGTTTCATTATATTTCCTTGTATGCCCATATGCAGGTATCAATGCTCAAATAAACCACATGAAATACATTGGAAATATATGGACACATAACTACTTTCATCTCTGCCGGTGCTCGGTATCCCTGCAGCGTCTATAGACAAAGTCACATCGTTAAGTTGAATAAAGGATGCGCAGGACATTAGCGAGGGATATTTAATTGCACGTGGCCATGGGGAAGATTACACCTTAGCTTGTTTGTAACCTTATCATAGAGAACATTTGACGAAGAAAGTATTACGACAGTAACGTTGTGCGTTAAATGCAATTAAACACGAACTTCCTTTTTTTACTGCTTACTTTTATGAGGTGAGGTGAAATTGGGTTTAACGTCGTGTCCAAGATTATTGCACTTATATAGCGACGTGCATGCACGTATGTGTGTGGCTGCTTGTACTAGTCCGGACTAATGCCGATTTATAGTGCCAGCTCACTGAGATACCATGCCGCCCCACTCAGACACAGTATACTGACTCCGACCCGACAAGTTCTTGTTTTAGCACCTTTATGCCGAGCGCCAGACAGGGTAACAACAAGTACCATCTTTTAACGTCTTTTGGTATGACGCAGCCGGGGATCGAAGCCCGGACCTTCCGCTCTCCGGGCGGCCGCTCTACCACTAGACCACGAACGCGGTCTTACTTATATGAACAACAATAATAATGCATTCCATTTTAGTTGACCACAATGAAATGTTGCAATGTTGCAGAAAAGGTTTTACAGCAAGTACTGTTTCTCGCGTGTATGTTAATAATGCAGCAACACTTTGATTCTCTGAGCAGGCATGGATTAAGCAGGGCCATCTTTTGCATAGACATTCTTTGCAAACATTTTCACGAGTTTAGTGTGTGTGTGTGTGTGAAGAATGGTTGGGGACAATTTATTTTTTTCGATAAAATCCTAAGCCCCGCCCCACACTTCACTTCGCCTCCGTATTTATGTACATTGTACTTACATAAACATTACGCTTATATATATTTTATGTACTCAGAAGAAGATGCGACTATCACATTCTTCTTAAATAACAGACGGTGGGAAAAAACAAAGTAATAAAGTACTTATCCGTCAATTTTCGGTAAGGTGACCAAACCATACATCTCAAGAAACTCGGTGGTATGCCATACTTGTAAAGGCAATTTCTCTGGCTGGTCTGTGAGTTAGAGGGTCGTCGGTTATCTGAAGTTTGATTATAAAGTAGTGATGTCACGATACGACTTACTTATCGCGATACTTTCGTCAGGGAATATTAAAAAGTCTTCGAACTTCCTGAATATCTGGTCTCATGTTTCAAATAAGAATGTCTCTCTTTCATCAGTAATTCATCCAGATAAAACTGGTTGGGACATACGTATAGTCTGTTTTTAAATACAATAACAAGTCCCCTGTTCGTGGTATGCATGAGATGCGCACGCGAAATTAATATATTAATAAATTAGATATGAAGGAATAGGCCCATGTGTGAAGTGATACAGGTTTAAAATATGAATCTATACAGGTACGTGTGTATCGCGTATCGTATCGTTTGAGAATATTTTCGATTCATCAATGTATTGCTGAATCGGGACAGCCCTAGAATTAAGTATATGTGATTTAAATATAGATATCGCAAAAACATTATTGTAAAATTCGATCCTAATTTATCAAGCTCTCTAATCCTCGTATCGTCACGAGTGACATCAAGAGTGAGTGAGTGATCGACTATTGTTTAACGCCGCTCTGAACAGTATTTCAGTTATGTCACGGCGTGTGAGCTTCATGTGGGAGGAAAGACGGTCTAAAACCAGAAATATAATCAGGACCGACCGGGAACTCGCACGCCTAGTGGACGCCACTCTGCACAGCGAATTCATCGATTTCAGCAAGTTTAGTTTTTAATAACAATAAAAACGAGCCCAGCATGTTGGACATAATCTCAATGTTGAAGTTGTTTTATTCATGGTTCTGTACTGCTGAACGGTAATGAAATGAGTGTCAACCAAGCGAAGTGCCATTTCAAATCGGCCCAGGTTTTGAAGGAGAGACTATCCGAACGACCACTGCATCGTGTTTATGTGCAGATTCATTCGCTTGGGTGACAAGGCTGGCCTGAAAAGTGAAACAGAATGTGACTGGACATAATGTATTATATATTTATATCAATGTACCAATGGTGCACCGTTTTAAGAATATGTATATGTATGCAAATGTCTGTAGTCCATCATTTGTTGTCAGCAGCTTGATCTAGACATCAGTAAGAAACTTATACGATTTATTTGCAAATCTTGCCCTGAAACATCTACCACAAATCATGAAAAAGTCATCATAGAAAAAGAAAATATAGTACCAATTCAGATATTTGACGTTCCTTTCCTCATACAGCTTTTCAGGGGTAATTTCTTGTTCAACTGTACATTTATCTCAACTGTAGCAACAGTAGTCAGATACAGATAACATATATGATTCATACATAATTTCTAGACATTTCACAGTAGTCTGTATTTACAACGACTAAGGCAACTTACTTATCAGCTTTCTTTTCTGACAATGCCATCTTTATGACAAAGCCAGTACAAAAAAAATCGCTTTTAATAATTTTGGTGAAACTAAGTTGTGCCACCAAAGTTGTGTTAAATTATTATTATTTATTTGAAACTCCTGTGATATTCTCCCTTTGTTTTCTTACCACAGCTGTTTCATTATTCCTAATCGATCGGAAATTCACGCTGGCAATTATATGGTTCTTATTCTCTTTCCAATTAACTCGCGAATATCATAATTCATCCGTGGAATTTCATTCGATGTATCTGTGACATTGCTATTAGGTATGCCGATGTCGCACACATTCATTTAACACAGGAACAGTTTACCTTAAATACATTAACATATGGTGACAAATGCCAATGCATTCAGGTCGATATTAGTACTTGCATTATCTATTTGTTCAGTAGCCACTAATGAATACGGGGTGGTCGGGTAGCCTTGTGGTTAAATCGTTCGCTTGTCACGCCGAAGACCCGGGTTCGATTCCCGACATGGGTACAATGGAATATTGCTGAAAGCGGCGTAAAACCTCACTCGCTCGCTCGCTCGCTCACTCACTCATGAACTCACTCATGAACTCATGAATAATAACGCACTTACTGTTTGCCATTCCCATTAGCAGGCACAGTCGCACTGGTATTACCATATACTGGGACGTGACTGCCACAAACTGGTATTTCTATCACATCGGACATTCTTGACATGTTTAATTGTGACACCAATATTAAGCCAATCAATGTGCTGGTATTCGGGCGAATTCCTTTACTGCTCAGGACCAGACACTTCCAACTCGAAACCGCCATTTGATTTTCCGCGTGATGAAATGTCATTGGATGTCCAGCTTTGGCACAAACACAGTATCTTAAGCGACATGACGGAGTGGCTCGATAATTTTATTACCGTCCTCTCCATGCTTGTGGTTTTGATAAGGAGGTCCATCCATGGTACGACAAAGAATATCTAGAGGGCGTCATGAAAAATAATAATAATGAAATTCTTTGGGATAGGCATGTGATTGACAATATTCAGGAAATACAGGGCAAATGTGCGGAATTCGCTTTCGAAATGTCATTCCAAGAACCAAGTTGTCCGACACCCCATTGTTCTCGATGCCTTATGTTTGGTACCTCCCAATCTGTTGGCTGACATTTAGAGAGTACCTGGGTTTGTTGCCAGGAATACAGCCCTTCTGACAATCTGGGTAATACAGAAGGCTGTAGTGAGCCTAACCAGCCAGGCTGTACCAGGATCAACCAAACCCTCTTTGCTGCATTTTTTAAATATTTAAGACTGATTAATAATAATAATAATAATAAGAAGAAGAAGAAGAAGAAGAAGAAGAAGAAGAGGCTGTCTGAACGACCACTGCATCGAGTTTATGTGCAGTGTGTTGAGATGGGGCTGTGAGTGTGGACAGGGCATTGTGTTTGAAAGGTGGACTTTAGCGGCTTGCTAAGTGGAGACAGTGACACGGACCGGAGTTAGCTCCTGGTCGCTAAGAGCTGCAATGATTCCTAGCGACAACATAAGTCTATTTAAAGTAAAGACTGCTATCGATAAGGCCCATAGAGGAAAAGCAACAGGTATTGACAACATCCTCGTCGAGGTTCTGAGCGGACGCTATTGCTAAAACGTCCCATCACATGTTTTATAGTTGTTTTAATACAGGAAAGGTTCGAAAAATATGGTCGAAACGCGTCGTTAGTCCCATTTCAGCCCTGAACCCTATAAATCCCTCCTTATGCAGGGGTATCACACTGACTACATCCATTTATAGGCTGCATTGTAGTATCCTAAACAGAAGAGTACAACTGTGAACAGAAGCTAACTACGTACTCCCTGATGGACAAAACGGATTAAGACAAAAGAGATCTACTATCGACCACGTCCAGACGCTAACAATATTTATAGAAAATAGAAAAGTATAAAAGAAATCAACATTTGTTTCATTCATAGACTTTTAGAAAGAGTACGATTGTTTAAATAGAGATATTTTATGGGATAACATTTCTCATCATGGTACCGGAGGCAAAATGTTAACTGCTTTGCAATCATCATACAAGGACGTAAAATGCAGTGTTCGGGTGAATGGTTTCTTTACTTCCTGGTTCACGGCAAACCATGGTTTAAACAAGGGCGTTTGTTATCTCACTTTATTTTTAACTTCTTCATAAATTATTTGTTACATCTTCTCAACAGTCTTAACATTGGTGTAAATGTAGACAATAGTAATAGTGCAGCATTAGCATATGCGGATGATTTAGCGTTACCAACCGAGAATGAAGCTGATCTCAGTTTAGTGTTAGATATTCTTTAAACAGGGTGCTGCTCAAATAAGAATGAGATCAATAACGAAAATTCTAATATTGCCCATTTTAGAATACGATACGAAAGTATGTCATATATTTCAAACGTCTGGAACTCTAGAGATAAGTTGTATGACGGACAAACATTCCTAATACCTTTTTCACCACGTTTGAAATATGTGTAAATAATCATTTGCACCACATTGAAACCCTATGGTAACAGTTAAGGCATGGTCTTCTTTATTTCCATTAATGTCCAACCTGTATATGACTGATCACATTAAATGCATTCATTCCATTGTTTCTCTGCACCGTTTGAAATACATGGAAGTGATTCATTAACGTGCATACGTTCCTAACATTTGGTAAATCATTTTCTAAAGATGATGTCGCCAATGGGCATATAATCAGCAATTCCACACCTTATTCCAAACATGAGGGCATACATGAAAATACAAAATTCCACGGAGTGTAAGGCACCGCAATTCGCTGTGCAGAGTTAGATGCCTTGGACACGCCAGAAAGCTGTGATCGTGGGTTCGAATCAAGGGTCGTCCCGATTATGTTTCTAGGTTTGTCAGCACCATGGCAGTGCTTATGGGTTTCACCAAAGTGGTAAACGTCTCAGACCTGCAGCACTTCGGGTTTTCCTACCACATCAAACTTACACGCCGTGATATAATTGGAATACTGTTCAAAATGGCTTTAAACCCACTCACTCACTTCAATCTGCTTTGGCAGGACATATATTTATTGATATCCGTCACGCTAATCTTCGCGTTCCCTCGCAAAAATGTCTTTGCGCAGATCAAACAAAGGCGCTCTTAACAAGGTACTTGCAAGTCACGACGATAGGGTGAGTGTTAACTCTTTGCTTCAAGTGTTTAATTATCAGGCTAAAGTTCCATTCTGGATAAGTCTTTGGTTGTTCTTGAAGTTTCAAGACCATGCAGGAATAGTCTGTAGCTTTTCTTTTCTAGATTACACTTGACTCCAAAACATCTAAATATAGTTACTTCCACACCACTGCTTACATTAGATATATACGATTTCCTCCGAACTATACGCTGTTCACATTTGCTTAATGTAATACCTCCCAACTGCCAGTGCCCGTAATCTGGGAATCATCTTTGATTCAACAATGGCCATGGACACTCATATTTTACTAACCAGCAGAGCATGCTACCATAGCATCTATAACATCAGTAAAGTCCGCAATCTACTTGATACTCCAACAGTTAAATTGTTGATGCAATGTCTTGTGACCTCCAAACTAGATTACTGCAATACATTGTATGCTAATCTTCCAATGTAAGCCATATCAAAGATACAACGCATTCAGAACTCTGCAGCTAGATGCATCTCTAAAGTTCCAAGATCCAATCACATCAGTCCTGTCCTCAAAGCACTACATTGGCTTCCAGTCTCCTTTCGTATAAACTATAAGATATGTATCATCACTCACGACTGCCTCACCAATAGCGACTATCCAGACTATCTCAAAGATCTTATATCCCTGTACTCTCCAGAGCGTGCTCTCCGATCCTCTGGTGGAACTCTACTGTATCAGCCTCTGTCTACTTCTGCTATGTCTGACCGTGCCTTCTCCTTTTGCAGTCCACAGTTATGGAACTCTTTGCCTTTGAATCTGAGAAACTCTGCTTCTAAGGAAACGTTTAATTCTCTCCTCAAAACCCACTTCTTCACCTAAGCTTTTCAATAGATCTCCTGATTGTTGGCATATGTACATAGACATTACTTTTTAACTTTGTCACAGCGCCAGTGAGCAACTGTCGATGGATATTAGGCGCTTTACAAATCAATTATTATTATTATTATTATTATTATTATTATTATTATTATTATTATTATACCTTTCCACACTTGGTTGGCAAAACGTAACGTCATTAATATGTTTATGAACTTAATCACAAATTGTGTTTGAACGAGTACTTCTATGTTAATGTTACAGCACTATCGACATTCATTTAAGTCTTTCTTTTCATTCAGCTTTCGGCTGTACATGGGGCTGGAAGAGCCCCTCACGAAGATCGTCATTAGTACCACCGAAAACCAATTTTGAAAATGCATACCATTCATTACTCTTTCGTAGAAGAGAAAGTAAAGAGCATACGTTCTGGTAAAGGCTATGTTATCGAGCAACTCTATTTTCCTTTTACATCATTGCTGCAAAAAGGAATAACGCAGAAAACCATGAACATGGTTTTCGCTCAATCATTTTAAGATATTTCCTTCAGCTCGTTCTTGTCCGAGTTGATTCTAATAACCTACATCTTGACTTGTCATACATGTAGGTACAGGCTAAAAAAAACTATCCAAAGTATATGAACAATCTGACACCTTAGTATCGTTTAAAGCTGAATATGTTATACATAGCCGTGTTTGAGCATTCAACATAATGAAAATGTATTTGGGATTGACTGTTTATTTCATAATTTTATTATAAATTAGTTTATATTGCAAATGGCAGATGGTTACTTGCTGTATTGCACACTGCTGTTCTTATGGGCATTTAAGTATTAGAAGCAAACCAAACGAAGTTTAATGTATATAATCGAATTGGTTCTGAGAATGATGCAATGCGGTGTTATAATATCCTCACAATGCGACCATTGATATATTATCAGTACATTTTGAATACGTCATCCGAAATGTTTATTCGACCACACTTTGAATATGCAGGTGACATATTACATAAATTGAACAATTGTTATAAGTACAACTTGCAGTAGCAGATGTTGTTAATGGTTTCAGAACCCGTGAAGATCCGGTGTAGAATGGGTCTTCAACAACCCATGCTTGTCGTGAGAGGCGACTAACGGGATCGGGTGGTCAGGCTCACTGACTTGGTAGATGCATGTCATCGATCCCAGTTGCGTGGATCGATGCTCATGATATTGATCACTAGATTGTCTGGTCCAGACTCGATTATTTACAGACCGCCGTCATCTGTCTGGAATATTGCTGAGAGCGGCGTTAAACAACAAACAAACAAACAAATAATGGTTTCAGAATACTATACATATGTCGACAGGCTAAACTAAGGGCCTACTTTACCAATTATGTGCCATGCAGCATAAAATCTTTTATTTGTCTACTGCCAGGGAACATCTGAACAACCGCCATCACAAGAACACATGGCGGAGAGTGAAATATTCCTTGACGATGTCACTCGCAATGTGTCGCGAGAGAACAGAAAAAGAAGTTCCGATACAACCAGAGAGGAATGGACGAGAAAAAGAGAGTACATCCTGTCGCTCCTTGGGTTCTCTGTTGGCCTTGGGTCTCTGTGGCGATTCCCCTACCTTTGTAACAGGAATGGCGGTGGTCAGTATGAAACGTGTATTCGCTCACTGCATGCGAATAAAAATAATACTTTGCTTCACTTGTTCACGGGCCTGATATATGTATGTGCTTGCCAAGGGTGGTTCGGGTCCGCCTTCCCTCCTTCCAGAGATCATGACTGGTGTGAACCGAAACTGATAATTTCCATCTTTAAACAAAGTTTTGTTATCATTTAAACATATAAATGTATTCGACCAAAATGTCCCTAAACGTCGAGTTACACCTGAACTTTGAAGTTGATGTTGAAGATGTCCAAATACAAAGAGTGAGTTGTCTGCACGTGCAGTTATTCAGACCATGAACCAAATGTAATTCAACGATAGAGACACAAACTCTCAGCCATTGAAATACTAACGTTTTCCAATTATACCATGCCAGTGTTAGATAACGGTAACAGACAGTATGCTCCTGTCTATTGTGTCTACATTACAATCGAGCATTTACAAGAAAGTTGTGACAAGAGTACTGCTGTGCGATGTCAGACAACAAACCTTCTCTTGTTTATGTAATTTGTGTGAGTGGCGCTTGCTACCGGTAGGGCAGGACACGCTACCCTTTTCGCGAACACCTGGTGTCATCAGTGATTGTCAGTGATCCATTCATATATTTTTCGCCGATATTTTGCCTTTTACTTCAAATGGAATCTGTTTCGGCAGATAATAGAGACTGGTTATTGTCTGGCGCTGATCTTTTATATTTACTATGGTGACCAAGGGTGGAGAATGATCACCTGTGTCTTGTCATTTGTTCTACTTGTGGCTCATTTCGTTGTTGACAGGTGCGTTTCTCATTCCTTACTTTATTGGAATCATCACGTGCTCTGTCCCGCTGTTTTTCCTGGAGATCACCATCAGCCAGTTCTCAAGCAGGAGTGCAGCACACGTATGGGTCCTCTGTCCTCTGTTTAAAGGTCAGTTGCTTCATCGCTGCATCGTTAATTTCATGTCATGTAAGCTAAATCTTTATCGGACATTGGAGCGTCACTTTACATCCTTCGCAGGAGTCCTTTGTTTTTTCTATTTCTAACATAAACAGTACATCGATGTTCTATTTCCAGCACGCTCAATGTTGCATTCACGAAGTCTTGTGTTATTTAACATGCTAAGCGTATGGGTTAATAAGCCTGTTATACAGAGACGAATGTGACGTGTTGTAGATAATTAGTGCATTAGTCACTACTAAAACAGAACAGGCTTAAATAGTCGGACATAACTTGTTTGATTTCAATTGGCAAAACCTAATTCAATGCCCTGCCTCGTCACAACAGTCAATAAGAACACATGTACATCTACGTAAGTGCGGAGGCTGACTTCCTCTACTAGCTATATTCCGGCGGTATATAAATATTCTGGGAGGGTAAGCCAGTGGTTGATAGCAAGATCAACACTTGTAAGGATACGATGACTCACAATCAACCAAGTCACAGAACCCGACCATCACATCCCCATTTGAATCAGCTCTTACAACAAGCGCGGGGTAATGGTAACCTACCGTTACTGTAATCAAGACAGGGCACTGTACAATGTCATTCAGGCGTGTAAATTAAGGTACAGTGAAAATATTCCGAAAAAAACCTCTGAAAAGATACAATTGCTTCATCTTCCAGGATAACCAATGACAACGGACAAGATAGCATCCTCATTCTGTAATGATATTAATAAATACTCTGTTATGACATATACGCCATCGTGGCATCGTTTCAGAAGTGACGTCACCATCTCCATCTGTCCTATCACTAACCGAGCACAAAATTTCCCTCGCTCATGGGAGTAATTGATTGGATGACTTAGTATCGTGCTATTCGAATCGGGCTCAAACCGAAGCTATGAGAACAAATGGTATTTATCATAATAGAATTTAGATATCATACCCTGTATAATCGAGGATGAGCATGGACTAGTTAGGCGTATCTTAAAGTGTGTATATGTAAGATAATGTAAGACAATAAACATGTTTTCTTCAGGTATCGGTATCTCTCAGGTATTCGCCTGTTCGTTCGGAAGTGTGCTGTACAATGTAATAATTACCTGGTCCATGTATTACATCTACACGTCCTTCTGGTCCGTGTTGCCATGGACAACGTGCGACAACTGGTGGAACACTCCCTTGTGCGTCAATAGGCTTGGGAACGTTTCATCCATCAACGAGACCCACGCCAACACAAATGTAGTGGATGACCGCCTTTTCAACTCAGCATGGAGAAAGTCGAATGTAACATTGACAGCATCAGAAGAATTTTGGCAGTAAGCGAATGATTGTAGCATATATAGTATACTTCCAGACTACTATTTAAACGCCTGGAATAAATGTGGAATATATGTGCTCTTTCCGAGAACACCTGGTGTCATCACTGAGTACTACTGTGTGGCGTCAGGCAACACACATATATACATTTTTATGTCAATTGTGTGAGTGGCGGGTGCTAGCGGTAGGGCAGGTCATGCTTACCCCTTTCGCGAACACCTGGTGTCATCACTGATTTTCAGTAATCCAAAATATCATTTTCACCGCTATTTTGCCTTTTTGCTTCCAATGATATCTGTTTCGTCTGATGGTCGAGCCGGGTTTATTCTCTCGTGTTGACGTTTTATATTAAATATGAAACAACATCACCAACAGTCATTGACACACTGTGAATAAGCCAAACAGATGAAACCGTTGCTTATTGTGAGTTCCATTTACTGTGGCAGATATGGCACACTGAGGGTGTCCAGTGGAATCAACAACTTCGGGTCAGTCCAGGTTCATCTCCTTCTCTGTAACCTTGCTTCCTGGGTTGTAGTGTTCCTTTGTCTCATGAAAGGCATCAGGTCTGTAGGAAAGGTAAGAACCGCCATTCGCAAAACCACCCATCACACTGATTTCATGATCTGATCCTATTATGTATGAGGGTTGATATACATTTAATAATCCCATGGGGATAGTATAATACCAACCCAATAGATCCCCAATATGGAAAATGAGTCCCGTCCGGGATTCGAACCCACACAGCCAGAGTGAGGCACCTAGACGCCAGCACACTAAGTCAGCGATCTAACCCACTCAGCCACCGAGGCTTCCAAAAAAATGAAAGTCCGACAATCACAATCTAAATACCAAACATATTTTTCGAGACCCACTTCGATCCACATCTAATCTTTCAGATCATACAGCTTGTCCAGTGAACAATGTATATTTATATTTAAAAGACAAATTAATATTTACCAGCATATTTGACAACAAATTACACACAGTCCCCTACGTTAAATATCTAATGGTCGACCCCGAACCTTTCCACGTCGTAACGTAATTTTCGACTAAGATGGATCGACTGGTCAGGCTTTTTTACCTATTATGTCTCACCGTGCCCCAATGGCGTGGACCTTTGCTCAGGCTTTCAATCACTGGCTTTCCTTTTCCAGACTTGATCATTTGCATGCTGACATAATTTTTACATTGCCGGAATATGTCTGACATTAATGCACCCATTCGCTCGCTGTAACCACAGATTTAGTGTTGGCAAATTGTAATAATGGTTTCTGGGTTGAGTGTTGTCCTCACTTGTTACTGCAGGTTTGTATTTGCAGGTGGTATATGTGACTGCATTGGTGCCGTATATCCTGCTGACGGTGCTGCTGATAAGGTCGTGCATGATGCCGGGAGCAGGAGATGGGATTGTGTACCTCTTACGTCCAGACTTCTCACGACTAGCGTCTGTTCAGGTTAGAGTTCATAAAACGTTCGTCAAAATAATGTCTGTTGAGATAACCTTTGCTTTGATCAGATTTCGCGATACTTCTCTGCCTTGGTGCTTCTTGGTGTCATCCCCTGCCATGTTCCTTTGAATACCAATCCTTTGTAGCCGTCGCACATTACCTTAACTCATATGTGTATTCATATTTACCTTTGCTAACCTTGATAACCACACTTGATATTGATAAGCTCCCATTATCCTGTACATCAGCTTTCCAGTCTGTACACTGGTTCCATAATCCGTCAAAACATAGACTGTGTAGTTAGCCGTGTGACTATCGTTACACAAATGTCAATGGGTATCCGTTTAAAGTCACTGTATCGAATATGAACTCATTTACGTCTTGATATAAACGTTTCGCACATCATTTATTATTTATTTTACCCACATTCGTATTCATATATGTTGATCATGCAAACGGTTTTGACAAGTTTTCTTTGAATGAAATACACCCATCCTAACTTTTTTTAAAGTTATATAATATGACGGGGTGAAAGAGCAAAGAGAGAAACCTACATCTATTATCTCTCTGCTGTGAATCTTCAAATGATTTATATGTATAAATATTATTTTTTCACGTCTCACAGCTGTTATAAGGCATCATTAATAACCTAATATATCTACATGATTATTTTTGCTATACAATGCATAATAAATTAAAAATACAAATACCTTTATTGTGCGTTATGCTCTTATAACACATTAACGACCTTTCATTGTATAGGTGTGGTTAGAAGCGCTGCTCCAAGGCTTCTATTCAACGAGCGTTACGTACGGCGCACTCATCACCATGAGCAGCTACAACAACTTCAACAATAGACCATTGAAGTAAATAATAAAACTTAACTTCTGAAATCACTTACAAACAGCGTGGTCTTTAATATTGATGACGATGATGATAGTTCAAGATAGATTTCCACGCATTTAAAATTTGTTTATTGTATTGTAATTACTTCTGTCTGCTACCATACTATTCATGTTTGTGATAGAGATACTTGCGTTTGGGAATGGAATTGAAGTGATCGACATTCCAACTGCTGTAAATAAGTTCAAATTTATAATGAGTCTCAGTTTAGGGAAGATCCCATAATTAAGAGTATGCAGATGCCGTGATGGAGACCAGTAAATAAAAGCGACAAAAGAAAAAATCAGAGTCCATTGCACGATTCCGACTATATCATAGCATGTGTTTATGAATCACAATCAAATAGTGATAATACTAGGCGCTGCCGAAAGTATGAGCGTATCCTGTCCCACCGGTGGCGCCCGTCACAAACACACGCAAAGGCAAATCAACAGCACAACCGAAAACACACGGGAACAGGATGACATAAGTCAAAACGGGGAGCTGCATGAGACATTTCCTTCACATGTCTGCCATAAAAAAACATTTGGAAGTTTTACTGAGGTCTTGAATGCTAAAACGCATGTTAAAAATAATGATCTACCTTTAAGTCATGTGGCAAATGCTACATGTTGTAACAATTGTTTGTTCTTAAACACAACCACTACCTTAATAATAAAATTCTCGACTTGGTGACACTATTTTCATTCTTTACGAGTTGGGCAGGTGTTAATATTTTGATATCTTGTATTTCAGAGACGTGGTGTTAGTGATAGTCATTGGTGAAGCAAGTAGTATATTCTGTGGTCTGGTGGTCTTCTCAACTCTGGGCTTCATGGCACACCAGGCGCAGATACCGATATCAGAAGTTGTATCCTCGGGTAAATATATCTGTTCCATACTAACTGGCCTATACTTAGACGATTTCATTGACAAATGTGTAAAGACTGTTACAATGCTGTGCATGAACTGTTAAAGAAATCGAGTTTGACAGACATAACAGCCTTGGTGGTTTAGATGACACCTTCTCGTAACATTGAATTAGTGCAAACTTTTGAACGTTACACCAAATTTGGTCATTATGATGTGTTTGGTTAATACCTCTCAGGATAATTCCCGGTACGCGTGGTCAAGGTCTTTGGTGCCGAAATTACATGATCAGAGATGTTCGCCTTGATAATTATTCTTGGTTTCTGAACACTATACCCGTTTTCAAAGGTTTCACCAAAGTCGCTGAAGTCAAGGAACTTCGTAATTCCGAGCTGTCCTCCACACCAAGCTGACGTGCGTGATATAACTGAAATACTGTTCAAAGCGGCGTTAAAACAGACTCACTCACAATGAAGATGCGGCACTGGGGTCGTAGTTTAAGAGTTTGCTTATTGTGTCGTGGGCCCAATTTCGATTTCCTCCCAGGGTACAATGAAGGAAGCCCTTTTGCAGTGTTCTCCGCCGTGATATTGCTGGGACATTGCTTAAAGAAGCGTAAAAATAACTCGCCCACTCACACTCACGACAGCATACAACCAATAGACATATCTGTTGCAGGTTCTGGTCTCGGTTTCATCATCTACCCAGAGGCCATCGCCCAGCTTCCTGTGTCTCAGCTGTGGGCAGTCCTGTTCTTCATCATGCTCTTTATGATGGGAATAGATTCTATGGTATACAATATTAATAACGTTGTGGTATTATTAGATGACTCTCTCGTGACACGTTAACCTGCTGTTCAAGGGCGTTTTAATGCCAGATGTAAACTGCACTACCACCTAACAGGTACTCTTTGTGAGATATGTACAGTGCTTGCACAACGCAGGTGCCATGTGAATGCTAATCATAAGGTACTGAGTGAGTTAGTATAGTTTTACGCCGCTTTTAGCAATATTTTCCTGCCGTCATGATTTTGGTTTGGTTTGTTGTTAAACGCCGCACTCAGCAATATTCCAGCTATATGACGGCGGTCTGTAAATAATCGATTCCGGACCAGACAATCCAGAGATTGACATCATGAACATCGATCCACGCAATTGGAATCGATGACATGCATCAACCATGTCAACGAGCCTGACCACCCGATCCCGTTAGTCGCCTTTTACGTCAAGCATAGTCGCCTTTTATGGCAAGCATGGGTTGCTGAAGACCTATTCTATCCCGGATCTTCACGGGTCCTGCCGTCATAAGGTGCACTACAAATAGGAATGGGCTTCATACATTATACCCTTGAAGAGAATCAAACCTTGTTTCTTTATTTAAGGACGATAGGATAATCCCGTGGTTAAAGCGGTAGCTCTGCATGACAGCCCCGTGAAGATCCGGGTTAAAATTGGTCTTGAGAAACCCATGATTGTCGTATGAGTTGTCTAACAGAACGTAGTGGCCAGGCTCGCTCGGGTTATGCATGTCCCCGTATCCCAATTGCGTAGATCGAATCTAAGGGTGTCAGTCACTTGATTGTCTGGTCCAGACTCGGTTATTTACAGACCGCCGTCAAATAGCTGGATTATAGCCGAGTGCGGCCTTAAACAACAAACAATAAACTTCTTGCAAGTAACTATGCGTGTCGTAAGCAGCGACTTGGTTGAATGCACGGCATCGCACCCGGCGGCGTGAGACGTTGCTCACAAGAACGATCACTCACTTGGCTGGGGGAACTCGATTATTTACAGAAGGAATATTGCGGAGTGTGGCGCGACATCTCATTCATCACTCACTGAAGAGCTGTAACGATATACTGTAATCATACAAAGACGAGACACGTGTTCCACCATATAAAAAGATGAATAGAGATATTTTAGCAAACGGTTGTCAAGTATATTTGTGAATGTTAGATTATTACGTACATGACCATGTCCATCGTCACTACTTCACTGACGTCCCCCCATGACCCGTAAATACATAAGGCCGATTTGCAGTGTAGTTGATATGAATAAATAATGCGACTAAACCCTTGTCATATTCACAAGATATCTCTGGAAACACGATTGTACGATTCCGGCTATATCATAAGCATGTGTTTACGAATCACTATCAAATAGTGATGATACTAGGTGTTCGCAAAAATGGAGCCCCCTGGTGGCAACTGTCACATATAAATGCAAATGCAAGTAAATAGTTAATCTGGGAACAATAAGGTACAGGTCAAAATAGGGAACTGCACCGGACGTCATGTTGGTCTCTGATGCGTTAAATCTGGAGTTTCCTTAACCAAGGAATCAAGTCAGTACCGAGTCCAGGGTGTGGGAAGCCAGCGAGTGCTCAGACCAATGAGGGATCAGATTACGTCGCAGAAGCAACAATAGATCTCGTGTTGTACACATATGCTTATTATTCAAGCGGTCTCATTTCATTCGTTGACTAAAACAGACAAACGTCCCTCGTACACAACAACACGGCTGTATGTATTATTGCAATGGAGGAACGTGTAGCTTTTAGCAATATTCAAGCAATATCACGGCGAGGTAACACCAGAGATGGGCTTCACATAAATGTATAAACAACTTGATGTACACTATTTACATCACGTACTCATTACGACGTTGCTACTTTGTGACGCTCCTAAAGTTAACTTCGTACTTTCACAGTTTGGTCTTACGGAAACAACCATAGCTGGAATCATAGAGGCGTGTCCAAAATACCTTCAACAACGGAGAATGTGTGTGACTGCTGGGGTGTGTCTAGTTAGCTTCGTTGTGTCCATTCCCTTTGTAACCGAGGTACGTATATATGTCATGAAGAAACTTGTTTGTTTGATTGAGGTCTGATCACAGAACAAATTTGACCTTCATTTATGATTATCACACATGCTGTTATTATTATGGCTGATAACTAGCCTATTGATACGTGTCTATGGCGTTGCAGGTATTATTAACATGTTAAGATTGAAGAAAGAGGAGGATTTGTATGACTGCAGAACTAAGTTGGCACTGCATTTACCTACATCCTACGGAAAAACAACTTGGTCATGTTGACACATTCCGTGAACAGCTTCTTAAAACCGCTACGATCAGCCTGATACAGCGTAGCTTCATCTCAAGGGCATGACTTTGTCCCAAACAAGGTTTAATACGCATTCATGTGAAGTCTTTGAAAGATTTGTTCATTTCTTAAAGTATGCAGATTTAGTGGACCAAGACATGACAATATCATACTCTATCCTTCGACACAGTCATGAAAACTGCATTAGTTGTTTATTGTTTGTCATATAATATTGAAAGCAGTGACAGCCAACAGGTTTCGTCTGATCGATATCGAATTATCCGGGTTTGAATTGTTCATGGTGTTATCAAAGGGACAAAACCATTTTGATAATCACTACTAAAAGCAGAGTCCACTGTACGCTTCCCCCTGTATCATAGTATGTAGTTATGAATCGCTAACAAATAGTGATTTTGTGGAGAGTCACTTTAGCCTAGTGGTTAAAGCGTTCGCTCATCACGCCGAAGACCCGGGTTCGATTCCCGACATGGGTATAATGTGTGAAGCCCATTTCTGGTGTCCCCCGCCGTGATATTGCTGGAATATTGCTAAACGCGGCGTAAAACCATACTCAGTCAGTCTAGTTCTTGTGGGTAAAACAGTGGAAGGAAGATTGGACAATAGAACATAAACATATTCAAAGCATGATACATTGTTATGATACCTAAAGAGCACAATGTCTAGTGATTGTGGATGTTATCCTTTATGCAGGGTGGGATCTACCTCTTCCAACTGTTAGACTGGTACGCCTCCGCCTTCAGCACACTGCTCATTGGCTGTCTCGAGTGTGTCGTCATCAACTGGATATACGGTAAAACCATGTGGTATTAATACTTTCTTGCATGCAAATTGTGCGAGTGACGGGTACTACCGGTGGAGCAGGCCATGCTCACCCTGTTTGCTATTACCCGGTGTCCTCAATGAAAGTTACTGATCCATTCAAATAATTTTCACCACTATTTTACATTTTACGTCCAATGAAATCGATGCCTAATGTGGACTTACTGTCTCTTGCGTTGACACTGTATAGGGTATATAATATTGACACGGTATTGTAGAAGGTGTAGAGGTAGTACTAGGTTTCACACAAGCTGTAAGCGCCTAGGATCTGCATCGTTTCCTGGGTTTCCCTAACAACAAGCTGCAGCACCATAAAATAACTGGAGTATTGTTAAAAGTGGCGTTTACGCCACCCAACTCACTCATTGTGACTTTACAACCAAGCTGATTTATCGGTTTCACAAAGATGCCAAAAAGTCTCACAGTGTTAACGTCGCTTTTATGTCTTGTAGGTTCAAAGAGACTCAGCAATGATATTGAGATGATGACAGGAAGGCGATTTCCAGTGTTGCTCAAAATTCTGTCATCCTATTTAACGCCTTTCATTCTCTTTGTAAGTACACACCAAAGATTTTACCAGATAAGAATTTATTTATGTCCTATTAAATGCTAGAGCGACTGAATGAATGACTGTATATGGGGGAAGCGAGTGCTTAAACTAGCGATGCATTACAATAAAGCGATGTCGAGCCATGAAGATCCGGTTAGAATAGGTCTTCAGCAATCCATGCATGTCGTAAGAGGCGACTAATCGGATTGGGTCGTCATGATGCCCGCCATCGTATCCCAATTGCTCATGATGTCAATCCATGGATTGGCTGGTCCAATCCCTTACATAGTTGGAATATTGCTGAGTGCAAACAAGACAATAATACAGTAATAACAGCAATAGTTAACACGGATACAATACTAGCCTTGTCGATAGTCATAAGATGTGGACCAAACACTAAAACTGTCATTACAAGTGACGCGGGTATTCGGAACTTTCTATGTTAGAAAGCTAGGAAAATGTTGTACATTTACTGCAGGAACCTATATTGCATGATGGTACAGGTACTCATCATGGTGTCGCAATACTGTTACACAATCATCTGGAGAGTAACCCAATATTGGTCACAGTGTGTGTATGAAAGAACAATCAAACATCAACAGTAAATGAAACCATTGCAAGCATGCGTTGTGTTCCTCATAATAAAGAAGTTAACATCCATAAGTTCTCTTCCTTATGTACAGAGCGGCTTCATTTATTTTCAGGCTTCCCTGATATGTTCCCTGTTTCTGTATGACCCGCCAAGCTATGGCGAGTACATCTACCCTGAATATGCAAAGGTGATTGGTATCATGGTTGCAGTGGTGATGTCTTTGCCCATACCTATCACCTTTGTGTACCAAGTTGTAAAGGGAAAGGGGAGCCTTTGCGAGGTACGTGCATGTGTGAAACTTTGATAATGTGCATACAATAAATAAGTTTTGCGCCATGAATACCCAACAACGATCCAGAACTAATCAACACTTTCCTTTTTTGGCAGCGTTTGAGGCTTGCAAGCAGACCTTCACCTGAGTGGGGACCATCACGGGCCGACGATAGATAGATAGATAGATAGATAGATAGATATTCAGTCTTTATTTCCTCCATTTTATTCAGTGGTAAGACAACATTTATAGGATAACATATGTATAATATTGCTTGAGGCGTAAATAAATCGAGAATTATCATTTTGCTATTACAAGTGTACGCTTGCTGACAATATATACATTGTTTAGTTTACATGTTAACAGCCATGGAGGACTTCATTCAACTTTTTAACTGCACCATCAATATTTATCATCCTTTCTGGTTGTCACATTCACCGCCTTCAAATTGTTGGTATACCTCAAAGTAGAAACGACATAACGATATCACCGTCAGTTCAGATTCTAACAAATATATTATCATCAAGCAAATCATTTTATCGAAGATGATGTTTCCTTCTACTAAATTCTTTTGACAGGACATAAAAACGTCTTTTACAATATCATTCGCAACTGTTCCACATTGCAACTAAGCGAACAAGCCTAAGTTAACTAAGTTTAAGTAGTAAAACATTTTAATTCATAGCAAGTTTCCAGATCGTATTTTTACATGTCTAGACAGAGATACTCTGGTCTGAAGCGCATTGTTTAATAATTGCTTTTCGTGAAGGTGAATCTTTTCTTTCATCAGCAGCGACAACAATCGTTTCTTGATGAAGCTTGAACACATTTTATAATTTTTAAATCATATTTGGAGACAAGACGTAGCATGCTAAATATAGGGGATTTGATATCCCACTTGTTCTTATTAGCTTGTGTTGCTTAATAGCTAAACTGTGGAAGTCGGCCTAGACACATGTCTTGAAAATATTCATTAGATTTGCATTACATACTTCACAAAGGAGCAAGAGAGTTTGTTGATAAATGTATCCTTGTGTGGATATTAAATCGATTGTGACTCTAAAACTATTTCATTAGGCATGCGCTAATTAAAACCCTGGACTTTCTTACAAAACTAGCCTTGAGTGGTTTCAAGCATGTCATATTCCTTCAAGGGACGGTTGGGTAGCCTAGTGGTTAAAGCGTTGGCTCGTCATTCGGAAGACCCGAGTTCGATTCCCCACATGGGTAAAATGTGTGAAACCCATTTTCCGGTGTCCCCCTCCTTGATATTGCTGGAATATTGTTAAAAACGACGTAAGACCATACTCACTCATTCACTCACTCACTCACTCACTCACTCGCTCACTCACTCATATTCCTTCAAGGATAGTTTTCCCCATACATTACATCTATTTTAAGCCTCAGTTTAATATCACTCATTGCCAGATGATAACGTCCACCCCAGTATCGTGGTTTACATTTATAAATATTTTCAATTTTTCACATACTAAGCTCGCTCGTTCTTCAGAAGTTTTAACACTAGATATGAACACTCCAGCACAGACAATTGCCTTTTGTACAGATAAATATATGTTACTTATGTACAAATGTTGAGGCGACACTGATTTGTGATCACATCAAAAAGTAAGGACATCACGTTTGATTACCAAGTATTTTAGCTGCCACTTGTTAGCATAGTTTTCTGCAACGTTCAGGCGAATTTGAAGACCTGTTGGGTTACAGCTGATTAAGCTCGTGTTATCTGATGACAGTCCTCCTCGGCATCGTCCCCATGAGAGACATAGTCCAAAGCCGGAATTAGTTAGTTCATGGAGTAAATCCTTGAAATAAAGAGTAATTATAAAGAGCCATGATGATATGATACGACCCTGACCTACCGATATACCGGCAGATATACACAAAGAAAAGAGTTAAGCACACCCTAATCTATTTCATTATTGTTTGGTCCCAATATTTGTAACAGTCATGAAAGATATTATTACGGGAAGAAGTATGTTTTCTCGAGATGATGTAATGACTCATGCGTGACGAAAGCGCATGAGCCAGGCATGGTTTGCCCGTGCAGCATGCTACCCTCGAGTATTTCTAAAAGCAGTATATCCAAACGTTATAATTGCTTTCTTAAACAGCTTTTCCATGACATTTTGTAACCATGACACGAAGGCGAATATCAAACGCCACAAGATGGCAAATAATCGGCATGCATAACGCCGGAATGTCTTGTAATGCCATAGGTCGGAATATGGGGTATCACCACGCTGTCGTAAGCCGTTTAGTCCAGAAACATGCTCAGACCGGTGATGTACAGGACCGTCCCAGATCCGAAAGATCTCCTGTGACGAAACGTCGCTAAGACAGGGATCTCTTCGTCTCATACGCTGAGAACCCTTTTTAACAAGTTCTCGTTTGAAACAGCTGTTGTTGCCCAATCGTCGTTTCAGCACCAGAACCGTCAGGAACCGACTGAAAGCAGCAGGACTGAGGGCAAGATGGGTCACAAGGCGTCCCTTGTTGAGAGATCACCACAAAGCTGCTCGTTTGGCATGGTGTATTGCGCGACAGAACTGAAATCTGAGACGGATCCATTGGTCAGACGAAAGTAGCTTTCTGCTCCACGTCACTGATGGAAGAACGAGCATTTGGAGGCACCGGAACACGGCCTACACCCCCAGGAACATTAAACCGACTGTTGCCTCCTGCAGGGGCTCGGTAATGGTTTGGGGGTGTCGTAATTCCCATGATTGCAGGTTGGATTTGGTCACCATAAGGGGCAACTTAACAGGGGCTCAGTACATCCGGGACGTTTTGAGGCGAGTCGTCGTTCCTCATTTTGACAACCACTCTCTTGCTACTCGAACTCAGTACATGGGTGACAATGCCAGTCCTCATCGTTCGCATGCAGTCGTGGATTACATAAGGGCCAATGCAATAACGACTATACCCTAGCCAGCAATGAGCCCAGATTTTTACCCACTTGAACATGTTTGGGATATTCTGGGGCGGCGCATATAGGCACGAGATCCTACTGTGCAAGATTTACGCCAATTGGAAGCAGCACTGCATCAGGAGTGGTTGTTGTTGACCCATCAACAGATCCAACTGGAGGCATGATACGTAGGGTGGAATGCGTCATCCGGGCACGTGGCGGTTATACCTGCTACTGATCTGTTTCACGTGTCATGTCAAGTAGAGACTTTAGGAACCTTTTCACATGAAACATCAAACGTAACTCGTTTACTTAATCCTGCAGCTCCATACTTTTTTTAGGTATTGTCTAATGTCAAAAACAGTACCTGTGTTACCATGATGTTTTTGTCAGTAAATTTCAATCACAACTCACTAATATGTTCTTTGTTTGTTGTAAAATGTTCTATCCGATGACATTGGTATCGCCCAGCTCGTGTGGTCAGTCATCCCATGCCATGATTTTTGCCATTCGTTATGGTTCAGAAATAAGTGTGTGCTTAACTTTTTTCTTTGTGTATAGTTCCACATTTTCTAAGGTAGATCATACTTTGGCAGTATTATTAAAAAATGCATGTCATTTTACTAGAACCAGAGAGAGTGGCTATTACGAGTTATGTCCCTCCTATTGACCAATCAGATTTCATCTCTCATATCACTTGCATTTGCTTCAAACAAAATGGCGGCGACCAGTGAAGAAGATCTGATCGATAATCATGATCTATACTATAATAAAACATGTCTTAATTCGTTAAGTGCATCAACTCACAAAAGCACCTGAATTAAAATCATGAAGAGAGAGATTAGAGGGTGCAATGGTCTGGAGAGAGATCTGTGAAGACTTGAAGATGGGACTGGTTATCATTCAACAAAACATTACTGCACAGAGGCATCGGGATGAAGTTTGGCGACCCGTTGTCCTGCCATTTATCCAACAACAGCCACGCGGAATAATCTTCCGGTATGACGACTTTCCCCCGCACGTTCTCCTGACATAAACCCCATTAAACATTCGTGGGATCATCTTGACAGGCAAGGCGACCCGTACCACCAGTCAACCGTCAAGACCTGGAGCGATGTTTTATCGAGACATAGCAACGGAATAACACTAACGTCACCAGGCGTTTTGACGTGATCGGTCCGGAGACGTGTTTGTGCACGAGGTGGACATACTCAATATGAAACCAGTGACTTATGACTATGCAATGACTTACATGTGTGTTCCTACTCATGTGTTTTGACAATGAAAATGTTAATAATCTCATTTTGACCCCATGTATCTTTGTGTCATTGTTACTTGTAAAGTTTCATCTTTCATGGAGTTCACATGATCCTAATACGCCACTCTTATGAAATATATACTTTGTTTTACCTTCCAACATAAATTCGCTTTGCTTCAATCGTCTCTCAAAGAGTTGGTGGACTTTTTTGGACGTCAGTTTATGTTCAATCAAAATATTATTATGTTCAGCACATGAACAAAAAACCTATTATAAAACGGCAGGTACATATTGCAGTTTGCATTGGATCTAGAGATATGAGGCATGCCTTGTAATCATGTTTGGGTTTCAACAGGTTTTACTTCTTTTTAAACTGTGTACACATTCATCAATATTAGTTTGTAAAATCGTGCACGTGGCACTTCTCTTCAAGTCGCTTCATGGCGCTCCTTGTCAATATTAATGTTGTAATGTATCGTGGGTCGGTGGGCCGATACATGAATAAAATCTCTGCTGAAGTTCTTCAGGGCAGACAAGACATTTAAGTAGATATATACCTTTCTCTGATATACCTGTAGATATACTTGTCAACCATACTCTGTGTATCACTTGCTCGATAACGGTTTTGGCACCTACACCGAAACGTCGCTCTGAATTGTAATAAAGAAGTTGTTCATCCATAAATCCTATCCTTAGTTAGTACCCCAACTTCTAAATGCCTGTCAAAGAAGTAATTATTTACAGTTAATTATAACTGTGTGAAGAAGGTGCTAAGTAAATTGATAGATCGCTGGGCCTGGCAGTCGATTCTTGACACGACGTCGTTCATTCGTTTCCGTCAATAGAATGGATCGCTGTATGGCTGAAATACTGCTTGTGCCATTTAACTCACTCACTCATTCACCAGAATGCGATTATATACTACCATTAAAGTTTCCGTACTATTATAAATGTTAATGGATGTATTGGATCATAAGTTGAAGTTATGCTATTTCATGTGAGTCCCGCTTAAAAAACTATGACGTAACTATATTGTTACAATTGTAGATTAACGAATTAACAGCTTACTGACGCACTTTCTGTAATGCAAATGTTATGTTCATTCATTAATGTTAAGCACGTGCATTATGAATGTACTGGCTACAACGATCAAACCGTACAAATCATACGTACAGTGCAAACATCCGGTGCAATTAAAATGCAGCAAGGATATAGAAGCACGAAGTCAAATATTCTCGTGTATTACGAATGTTTGTGTTGTGCATCATGTTTGTGTTGTATATACTTTCATTTATTTATTGTTCATTTATTTCAGCTTTCAGGTTTTTCTGGCTCGTACATTATTTGTAATGATTTTTCAGTTACTTGTGCATTATCCTTGACAGGAACGAGGACGAGTTTGTGTCATTCCTTGAATAAAATCTCGTAAAATGTACGGCAATCATGGTCATGTGCTTATGGACATCAAAATCGTTGTCCTGTCAGAGGCTTTCCGATCAGTTGAAATGCCGTATAGCCTGTGAATGTCGCACATAAATTACGTCTGGACTCTTTTGATATGGTGTGACAAAGAAACATAAACCATTCATAAAACATAAACCATTAACAACATCAGAAAGGAGGTAGTGCCTGCATATTATTTCATAAACCATGAATATAAAAAAAAACATTAAACAGCATCGGAAGGAGATCATACCTGCATATTATTTTTAAAACCATTCATAAAAAACAAACCATTAAACAACGTCGGAAGGAGATAGTACCTGCATATTATTTCAAAACCATTCATAAAAAATTAAACAACATCCAAAACCATTCATAAAAAAAAAAAAACCCAATACGTTTCACTTGAGAAAATTCGTGGAAGGTTTTCAGAATTCTATTCTATGGGATTACTAAGGGGGACACAAAATACGATACAACGTGATCTTCAGTAATATTAATATTGACAAGACGCGCCATAGAGCGAATTAAATGAAAACAAATACCTTGATATAATAATGAATGAGTACACAGGTCAAAAAGAGGCAGTAATTATTGAAACCCATACATAATTAAATGATATGCTGCACACACAACTGCTACACTCTAACGGCTTGAAATATCAACATGTCCAAATATGTTACATTGTTTGTTAAGAAACTGAAAATAACGTTTCTGTTGAATTTTCATGCGTTTTTTTAACACGACGGAAAATGGTATAGTAATGTATGGTGCAGGTCAACCATTTTCACACACTACACAAATGCGAATATAAGGTAATACCTTGGAAATATGTCCTGATACATTAATACCAACACTATTTCTTCTAAAAGTATTACCCCTATAGTTACAATGTTAAACATAATTATAAACTGCCGGGCATAGAAAGTATATGTTAATGTTTGATGGTGGATAAAAGGAAAAATACAAGAAATGGTTATTCGATGGTGATGTATTTGATACGGTTATCATAGATGTGGATTTAACCTTACGTTTAATAAGTTTCGGCGGCTGTTTTCAGCCATGTAAAGTTTTGATAACGTTTGTAGTTTTTTGGTTAATTTTAATTTTCAAGTGTAAATTCTTTACACGGTAGTTTATACGCCCTTCACATGTTGAAACTTGAGGATATAAAGTTAAACACATATGGCCATATTAAATGTTTGTAAATTGTCAGCTGAAACATTACACGGTAATAAACAAAACTTAATTTATATCCATGTCATCCCGAATAGCGTTGAAGTGTCATCATGGTGATCTTGTCCGCATGAGAATGCTCTGTGGGTAGCTTTCAGAGTTCTGAAGGTATATCTCCCTGTCTTCCACTCGCGATGGTCCCCACTCAGGTGAAGGTCTGGTTGCAAGACTCAAGCGCTGCAAAAGAAATGTTTCGCAGAAAAATTGATTAGTTCTGGACCATTGTTTGTATTAATGCGAGTCTAACATGTGCTTGGGTTGGTGTCCTAAATCGGCTTCTTCAAAGTACGACATCACTTCTGTAAGCCGATTTAATATAAGTATGTTCACACTTCAAAGTCAGGTTTAATCGCGTTAATGTCATAACACATTCTAGGTTAGGGGTCGGTACTTGCGCTGATTTGGCGACGCTTTAATTTCATGATTTACAGAATATCACAGACGAAAGGATTCAAGTACAATGGATGAAAACGTACCTCGAAAAAGCTCCCCTTCCCCATGACAACTTGGTACACAAAGGTGATAGGTATGGGCAAAGACATCACCACTGCAACCATGATGCCTATCACCTTTGCATATTCAGGGTAGATGTACTCGCCGTAGCTTGGTGGATCATACAGAAACAGGGAGCATATCAGGGAAGCCTGAAAGTAAATGAAGCTACTCTGTACGTAAGGGAGAGAATTTATGGATGTTAATTTCTTTATTATGAGGAACACAACGTTTTGGAGTATATACTTACTCCTTCATCGAGTGAATAGCGAGACAAAACCCTTTCCATATCCAATAGAAATATCTGCATAAAGCAGAGTCGATTCTGAGTATATCATAAGCATGTGTTAATGAATCACTATCAAATAGTAGTGCTATCAGGTGTTCGCGAAAAGGTGAACGTATCCGGCTCCACCGATGGCACACGTTACAAACACATGCAAAGGCAAGTCAATTGTTCACTGGAATAAACACGGGAACATATGTTAAAAGTCAAAATAGGGAATTGCATTGGACATAATCTTTTGTCACTGATGCGTCAAATTTGGATAATATCCTCCCCATGTCTGCCATAAACATTTTTGAAAGCATTACAGAGGCCTTGCATGCTGTAACCTTGATCAAACAACTTCTGAGCAAGAGTTGTATGAAGTTCTTTGAAATCTTGTAGAAAGAGCATGTGAAATGTAGACACCAAAGGCTGGAGCTGCTGGAATATTGCTTGACATGAAGGGAAAGTTGACTATTGGAAAGTTGAAGTCATCCCTCTTGTCATACAGTCTTAATGCATAGATCTAAATATGAAACAGAAGAGGCGGTCTCACTGGTCTCCATTTTATTCTCGTTCAGGTGGGTGAATCAGTGGAAGGGAATTGGCAATATGATTATTATTGAAAGATGTCAGATCATCGATATACCTGAAGCTTAAGTTAAACTTCTTTGCCGAATTACCTTCTTTTGACTTTGCCCATCCGGACAGAAACTCTGATTCATATGCATGACGTGAGGTGAGGTGAGGTGAGGTGAGGTGAAATTGGGTTTAACGTCGCGTCCAAGATTATTGCACTTATATAGCGACGTGCATGTACATGTATGTGTTTGTGTGGCTGTTTGTTCTAGTCCGGACCGATGCCGATTTATATAGTGCTAGCTTACTGAGATACCATGCCGCAGTTTAACATGACTACCCCACTCAGACACAGTATACTGATTCCGATCCGACCAGTCCTTGTTTTAGCCCCTTAATGCCGAGCGCCAGACAGGGTAACAGCAAGTACCATCTTTTAACGTCTCTTGGTATGACGCGGCCGGGGATCGAACCCCGGACCTCCCGCTCTCCGGGCGGACGCTCTACCACTACTTCTTACCTAAATGTCTTACCCCAAAATTTTACGTAGATGTTATCAATGGGGACTCCGGCATTTCACATATTGTTTTCTCAGTAAACTTCAGACGGCATTTGCTTTCATTTTTCACAAATTGTCCCGAACCTCTGAATATAGATACATAACCGTATCTATGTTCACCACGTTTTGTTAACAAAAGCCCTATGGATCAAGGAATGAAGTTTTTCCTTAAGTTTGTCATATGGGACAGCGATGCACAAAGTTGAAAAGAAAACAAATGTTTTGACAAAATTGAACTTGGTCCTTGTTTGAGATTGCAAAAAGTCAAGCAAATCCTTTTGTTTTTCAGAATCCACATGATATTAATCCAGTTGTCTCAAATACTTTCTGTGAATATATAGAAAGTCCCTCCTTGATTTTATTAAGGATTATGGTTAATCTTCGAGACAGGGATTTGGTGGTACATTTGCTGGATCCAGCAATTTATCTCTCTTTGCACGTATGTTAATGGAGCTTTGGAACAAATGCTATGTGGCAGAGAACATGGAAGATGGAAGCCAAGAGATAATTGGCGCTGCTAGGTGATTAGCCATGGACAAATGGAAGCCAAAGCGTAACTGTAAATGAGCGCTGATAGTTGACAGCGATGGACAACATTTTGTACAAGTAATTGCGTATGGTTTTGTTTGTTCTTTCACAAGGAGAACTAAGATTGCGCGAGATTGGCGTTTTGACTTGGCATCGCATTTTGCACAGTATCGCTAGTTTGATCACTCGTTTCGCCCAATCAACAGACATTCATTCACTCGAACAACGGATAACATATTACATCAATTCTTGATCTTGTAAACCCTTTGGTGCGTACTTACAAAGAGAATGAAAGGCGTTAAATAGGATGACAGGATTTTGAGCAACACTGGAAATCGCCTTCCTGTCATCATCTCAATATCATTGCTGAGTCTCTTTGAACCTACAACACATAAAAGCGACGTTAACACTGTGCGACTGTAGGTCTAGGTGTTACACCGATAAAGCAGCATTGATTGTTTTGTCACTATAAGTTACCCGGGTGGCGTTAACACCGATGGTGAGGCAGCTTGATGTTGGGGAAAACCAGGAGATGATGCAGGTCCTGGGCCTTTACAACTAGCGTAAAACCTACGACTGCTAGTACGGTGTTGATTACTCAATAATAATCGAATCTGTTTTGAACCCGTCATCAGAAGATTCAGAAATGCCCAACTATCATCAAGTATCTACTTCACAAGTAACCTGTAACTCTACCTCTACACAATCTGACAATTGTGTGGATATACTATCAAATTGTGCAGATTGGTGTAAAATCCAACATTGTGATGACACCAGGTGTTAGCGAACAGGATACACATGCTCAGCTTCACCCATAGCTCAATCAATTTGCATACAAAATACATACATAGTATTAATGACATTTGCCATCTTGTGCCACATGGTTTTACCGTATATCCAGTTGATGACGACACACTCGAGACAGCCAATGAGCAGTGTGCTGAAAGAGGAGGCGTACCACTCTATCAGTTGGAAGAGGTAAATTCCACCCTGCACAGAAGATAACATCAGGTTTCGCAGCCTTCGTTCCAGAATAACCAGGTGAGGTGAAATTGGGTTTAACGTCGCGTCCAAGATTATTGCACTTATATAGCGACGTGCATGCACGTGTATGTGTGTGTGTGGCTGCTTGTACTAGTCCGGACTGATGCCGATTTATAGTGCTAGCTCACTGAGATACCATGCCGCAGTTTAACATGAATACCCAACTCAGACACAGTATACTGACTCCGAGCCGACCAGTCCTTGTTTTAGCCCCTTAATGCCGAGCGCCAGACAGGGTAACAACAAGTACAATCTTTTAACGTCTTTTTGTATGACGCGGCCCAGGATCGAACCCTGGACCTTCCGCTCTCCGGGCGGACGCTCTACCACAAGACCACGGAGGCGGTCCCAGAATAACCAGAGATTGTTCTCTTTAGTATCATAATAATGTATCATGCTTTGATTTTCTTGTGTTCTGTGTTAACGCAGAAATTGCCACCACGATAGGTGTTCAATACCGGTCAAATAGCCATTTGTCCTTAAAGTGATTTCCCACCTGAGCTACAAATAAAGGTGGTCTGTAAAACCGCCTCATCTGACTCATATTTAGATCTATAAAACAAGGTACAGAGTAACAAAATACTTTCCACAAGAATCACTATTTGATAGTGATTCATAAACACATGTTTATAAAATAGTCAGAATCATACAATGAACTCTGCTCTTAGTAGTGTTTTTATATGATGATGGGATTATGTTTTTTATTTACATGTCACAAATCCAACCTGGTTAATTTGATATCGATATATGTCCCCTGTCACATCTGCCTTGTCGTATTACTCATACTCAGAGCCATCATATGACATCAACATTTAATGACAAACAATAAATATCCAATGTAGTTTTCATGACAGTGTCGAAGGATAAGGTATGATATGGTCCCGTTTTAGTATACTAAATCTGCTTACTTTTAGAAATGAGCAAAGCTTTCAAAATTCGTTATAGACCTTCATGTTTACGCTTTCCATGTTTTGAACAAAAAACAAGACAAATTTTGAGGCTGGTTAATGGTTTTAGGGAAGCTATTTACTTAATACTTTAACATGACCAAGTTGTGTTTCGTAGGGTGTAGGCAAATGCAGTGGCAACTTAGTCCTACCGTTATACCTGGCTCCTTTGTCATTCATCTTAACATAGTAATCATACTTGCAACGCCGTAGACATATAAATAACGTAGTTATCAGTCATAATAACATGTGCGATAATCATTATGATAATGTCTTAGGTTTCTGTGTCACGTGTTGCTCTGTGCAATGAATAAACACCTCAACCAAGTCTCAGACTACCTTACACCCGAAATCGTTAACGTTATTACAGGAATAATGTTTTGTAGGGAAGGTCAAATTTGTTCTCAGATCAGATCTCAATCAAATAAACAGGTTTTGCTAAGAGATATACGTACCTCGGTTACAAAGGGAATGGACACAACGAAGCCAACTAGACACACCCCAGCAGTGACACACATTCTCCGTTGTTGAAGGTACTTTGGACACGCCTCAGTGATTCCAGCTATGGTTGTTTCCGTAAGACCAAACTGCGAAAATACGAAGTGGTAATGAGTATATGGTGGTGATGATGTATATCAAGTTGTTAAGTGATTGACGTGAAGCTCCTGGTGTCCATTTGCCGTGATATTGATGGAATGTTGCTGAAGTTAATGCAAAACCATAAGCCTCAGACTCTGGTCTCTATTAATCAAATAATGAATTGGAGCAATGTGTGAAACTCGAGATATATTGTTGATTCTGTGGTGTAATCTGAACACTGGAACCTGTTCTGTCCTGAGTTGTTGGTTAACCTACAACTACACTGCACATAGGCTACGGGGTAGAACACTGGAACCTGTTCTGTACTAAGTTATTGGTTAACCTATCAACTACGTATACACTGCACATAGGCTACGGATTGGGGGAACAGTGGAACCTTTTGGACTGAGTTGTTGGTTAACCTATCAACTACACTGAACACAGGCTACGGATGGGGGATCACCAAACACAATTGGACACCTTGATTGCCTTATTGTTAGTGTTACCATAGCCAGCTCCGTGTTAACACCCAGTACAATCACGACACCTTAATTATACTTAATTGGCTTCTCCCCTGTTTGGCTTCGTCATTCAATTTTCATCTTTGTACATTAATTCCACCTTGTGTAAACATATGCTCTTACTCAGTAATCTACGGACGAAGGGGCAAGAAGTAGCTCTAAAACGTCGTTCTGAACCAGCCAATCCCATTCTTATCCGTAACGTCTCAGGCGGTCGCCAACCTGGTCAACGAGCCTGACCATCCGAACCATTTCAATTGCTCTTTACGAAATGCATAGATACTGGCATAAAGTTCATTGTTTGTTGCTTAACGCGGCACACAGCAATATTCTAGCTAAATGACAGCGGTCTGAAAACAATCAAGTGATTGATATTATGAGCAACGATCCATGCCATACGATGACACACAATTGACCAAGTCACCGAGCCTGACCTTCCGGTCCTATGAGTACATCAAGAATAGGTGACTGAAGACCGACTCTAACCCTGATTTTCACGGGGCTGACACCAAGAGCTCTCACTTTAATGACGGGGTTACCTTACCGTCCTTAAACGAAAGAACCAAAGTGATTATGTATGAATGGTCTTCGTGCCCATCGCCATGTCTGGAATATTGCTAAGTGTGACGGAAAACCACAGTCACTCTTTAGACATTCATCGCAGTAGATCATGTTACAAAATACTCACTCACTACTGTTCACTCACATGGCACCTGCGTTTTGCGAACACTTTACATATTCACAAAATTTATATTTTAGTTGGTAGTGCAGTTTCCTTCCAGCATTACAACGCCCTTGAACAGCAGGTTAACGTGTCATGAAAGAGTCATCCGATAATATCACAACGTTATTAATATTGTATACCATAGAATCTATTCCCATCATAAAGAGCATGATAAAGAAGAGGACTGCCCACAGCTGAGACACGGGAAGCTGTGCGATGGCCTCTGGGTAGATGATGAATCCGAGACCAGAACCTGTGACAGATACATGTATGTCTATAAGTTGTATGCTGTCGTGAGTGTGAGTGAGTGAGTTTTGTTTTACGCTTATTTTAGCAATGTCCCAGCAAAATCGTGGTGGGAAAGCCAGAAATGGGCTTCACACATTCTTAAGTGAGAAATCGATCGTGGGCTACCTGCATAACGAGCGAAAGCTTGAACCACCACCCCAGCACCGCATCTTTAGTGTGAAAAGTCTGTTTTAACGCCGCTTTGAACAGTATTTCAGTTATACGACGAGTCAGCTTGGTGTTGAGGAAAGATCGGGATGACGAAGTTCCTGGATTTTAACCACTTCGCGGAAACTTTAGGAAAAGGTATGGTGTTGCCAAACCAGGAATTATGAGGGCGAATTTCGAAATGTCGGCTCCTAAGACCAGTTGACCCCAAGTACCTGGTCATTGTCCCGTGAGAATTATATACCAAATCATTAGGATATAATACCCATACACACAAATGGACTGTAATTGCTAAATAGAAATTATTACAAACATGATATTTGTGAAATATCTCCCACAGTTATCGTTTTGGGTTGTATATTTATGGATACAATCCACCGACGTCTTTTTCATCATATTTGTTAATATATATTTCCATGGCCATTTTCTTTGTTGCTTCTATGTGGTGTCAGGCAACACATACTTCATTTTCATGCAAATTGTGCGAGTGGCGGGTGCTTCGGTTACGACAGGACGTGCTTATCCTTTTCGCTAACAACTAGTGTCATGGTTGATTTTCAGAGATCCATTCATATAATATGCGCCACAATTTTGCCTTTTACGCAAAGTAGAATGTGTTTTTTTTCCGATAATCGAGATTGACTTTTTCTGGAGTTGACGTTTCCTATTTCTACATTAGATTTGAATAATGTTTAGATCATGCCACACTGTGGTTTCCAGGTTAGCGTGTTGGTACTTCTCCAAACATAACCTATATCAGGCTTCCCATCATAATAGATATAACAACCGACTGGAACTTCTACAGCTGTCTCCTCAATGCTTAAAGTGCAATTCCCTCGAACATAATTGGGTGTAACTTTCAAAGGTACGTCATTAATTCAATGTTGCGAGTGGGTGTCAGCTGTCACCTAAGCTGTTATTTCTTTCACAGCTCCTGCACATCTCTGTGACAGGTGGTACATATGTATCAGTGAGTATATGAAGGGAACAGAGATATTTACCCGAGGATACAACTTCTGATATCGGTATCTGCGCCTGGTGTGCCATGAATCCCAGAGTGGAGAAGACCACCAGACCACAGAATACACTACTTGCTTGACCAATGACGGTAACTAACACAACGTCACTGAAATACAAGGCGTCCAACTATTAACATCTGACGAAATATGAAATACTTTTAGGTTGCGAATAGTTTCAACAAGTCGAGAATTATATTATTAAGGCAATGGTTGGTTTAAGAACAAACATCGTTGCACAACGATTTAGCATTTGCCACATGATTTTCTACATGGTACATCATTATTTTAAACATTCCTTACAACATTCAAAACCTCAGTATAGCTTCTAAATGTTTTTCTTATGGCCGACATGTGGTGGACACAAATGATGTCTGGTGTGTTTTCCCGTTTTGACTTTTGCCATCGTTTCCCGTATGTTTTCGGGTGGGTGATTGACTTGCCCGTCCATGTGTTTGTGACGGCGCCACCGGTGGAACAGGATACGCTCATCATTTCGCAAACACCTAGTATCAAACTTTTTGATAGTGATTCATAAACACATCCTTATAATATATTCGAAGCCGCACGGGAGTCGTTTTGTCGCTTTTATTTACTGGTCTCCATCACGGCATCTGCAGCCCCTCCATATGGGATCTTTCGTAATATTTCACCCATGCTTAGATTCATAATGAATTCGGACTTATTTACATCAGTTGGAATATCAATCACTCCTCTTCTATTTTCACACGCCAGAATCTCTTTCACAAACATGAATAGGAGGTAAGAGGCCGGAGTACTTTCAAGAATGTACAATGCGTGGAAATGAATTGTTATTACTTGAACTTTCATCATCGTCATCATTATTAAAGACCACGCTGTTTGTAACTACGTTCAGAAGTTAAATATGACTATTTACTTCAATGGTCTGTTGTAGAAGTTGTTGTAGCTGCTCATGGTGATGAGTCCGCCGTACGTAACGCTCGTTGAAATAAAACCTTGGAGCAGCGCTTCCAACCACACCTATGCAAAGAAGGTCGTTAATGTTGTCTTTTAAGAACTGTGAGAGATGGCATAATAATGGTATTTGTATTTTAAAATAAATTATTCATCGTATAGCAAAGAGAAGCATGTAGATATATTAGGTTATTAATGCTGTTTTGTAAGAGCTGTGAGACGTGTTGTAATAATAATATTTAAATATATAAAATCATTTGAAGATTTACAGCAAAGAGCTATAGATATATGTCTCTCTCTTTGCTCTGTCTCCCCGTCAGATTATATAACTTATATAAACCCCCTCTCATTGCAACAGCTGGTTTGACGGCCGTATCACCGCGGAAGCTAATATTCATAGAATATCACTTTTACTGTCATTGTCGGTAGGCATATCAAAATAATTATATCTACAATTACAGGTTACACAATGCACAGATGCGGTTACTACAATATTTCAAAGGATGGCAATACATTTCTCGCAGAAAACACGATAGAAATCTACAAAGGGAATGTATTTACGTTTTGGAGACAACAGAGAGCTTGGAATTTTGGCGCTTTTCTATATACGACTGTAACGTCATATCTTTAGCGTCACAATGAGCGATATAACGTCATAATGGCGACGTGCGATGTAGAGCGAAAGCCTTGCAAAGCTTGCTTTGTTTTCTCTAGGAATGCCCACTTCATGTTAGGTAACCAAGTTGCCGTGCTTATATGCTTCCAATGCCTTTCATATGTTCGAGTGAAGTATTACGGTGTAAACAAACTCCTTGAGTATATATTGAACATATTTTGTTCGGTTTGTTTGTTTTGGACTCATGCAGCTTCACTCAGTATATTTGCTAACACCAAAGAGTTCGCGTTTTATTTAGTCATGGTAGAATGCAGATAAACATACTGGCAATAAGGCAATGGGCAACGGCTACAAAGTATCGGTGTTCAGAGGAACATTGCAGGGGATGACACAAGGGAGCACCAAGACAGAGAAGTATTGCGAAATCCGACCAAAGCAAAGATGGGTTGCTTAAACAGACATTCTTTTGGCACGTGTTTCATGTAGTCTAACCTGAACAGAAGCTAGTCGTGAGAAGTCTGGACGTAAGAAGTACAGTATTCCCTCCCCTGCTCCCGGCATCATGCACGACCTTATGAGCAGCACCGTCAGCAGGACATACGGCACCAATGCAGTCACATATACCACCTGCAAATACCAACCTGTAGTATCAAGTGAGGACAACATTCAACCAAGAATTGTTACAATAAGACACCACTAAAACAGTGTTACAGCAAGTGAATGAGTGTGTGAATGTTGCTCAATGCATCAGCCAGGAATGTTCCAACTATATAAAATTCATTATAAATCATTGTAAATAATCGAGACTGGACCAGTGATTAAAAAGCATGAGCACAGATCCACGCCATCGGGGCACGGTTAGACGTAATGCGTCAAAGAACCTGACCACTCGAATCATTTTAGCCGACGTAACAAGAATCATAGTTCGTTGGTTGGTTTGTTGTTTTACGCCGCACTCAGCAATATTCCAGCTATATGGCGGCGCTCTGTAAATAATCGAGTATGGACCAGACAAGCCAGTGATTGATATCATGAGCATAGATGACACGCTTCAACCAAGTCAGCTAGCCTGACCACCAGATCCCGTTCGCCTTTTACGGCAAGCATGGGTTGCTGAAGACCTATTCAACCCCGGATCTTCATGACAAGAAGCATAGGTAAGCGTAGACCACTATTTATTTGGGAGAAGGTGGTGTAATCTGTTCTCAAATATGATGGTACACATTATTTTGCCTTTTAACCCATATAGTAAAATGTTCAGAGGACATGCAGGATGTTTCGAAAAAAATATGTGTTGTAAATCTAAATGGGTCCCCAAAACACTTGACTTCTCCTTCCAGAGAACAATATTGTATATCTTAAAAATCCTAAACATCCCTTAAAATTATATCATGGTTGACACCATATGGGGTCAATTCTATCCAGGATTCCCCATGGGGCCTACATGAAGAGATGATATAATGGAATCAGCGTGGTGGTTGCTTTACGAATGGCGCTTCTCACCTTTCCTACAGACCTGATGCCTTTCGTGACACAGAGGAACACTACAACCCAGGAAGCAAGGTTACAGAGAAGGAGATGAACCTGGACTGATCCGAAGTTGTTGATTCCACTTGACACCCTCAGTGTTCCATATCTGCCACAGTAAATGGACCTCACAATAAGCAACGGTTTCATATGTTTGGCTTATTCACAGTGTGTCAATGAGTGTTAGTGACGTTGTTGGATAGATAATACAAAACGTCAACGCTAGAGAATAACCGCACACAGGTTCCATTGGAAGTAAAAGACAAAATAGCAGTGAAAATAATATGAACGGATCACTGATAATCAGTGACGACACCGGGTGTTCGCGGAAAGGTTAAGCATGTCCTTACTCATTTATTCTACATTTATTCCAGTTGCTTAACTATAAATAGTAGTCTGGAAGTAGACTATGCATGCTACAATCATTCGCTTACTGCCAAAATTCTTCTGATGCTGTCAATGTTACATTCGACTTTCTCCATGCTGAGTAGACAAGGCGGTCATCTACTACATTTGAGTTAGCGTGGGTCTCGCTGATGGATGAAACGTTCCCAAGCCTATTGACGCACAAGGGAGTGTTCCACCAGTTGTCGCACGTTGTCCATGGCAACACGGACCAGAAGGACGTGTAGATGTAATAGATGGACCAGGTAATTATGACATTGTACAGCACACTTCCGAACGAACAGGCGAATACCTGAGAGATACCGATACCTGAAACAAAACGTGTTTATTGCAGTCTGCATGATAATATTATTTCATTGGCTGACATATACACACTTTACGATACGTCTAATTACCCAATGTTCATCCTCGATTACCCAGGGTACTATATCACCATTCTATAATCATAAATACCCTGGACTATTCGCTTTCACAGCTTCGGTTTGAGCCCGAATCGAAAGGTTTGAGAGTACGTCATCCAATCAAACTCGTCCCATCAGCGAGTGCAACTCTGTGCTAGGATAGTCATAGGACAGATTGAGATGGTGACGTCAGACTATTTATCATAACAGAATGATCACGCTTATATTAATACCACTTAATATTCGAAGTTTCAGGAGTTGTTTCAGTATAAATTCACAGTAACGAAATATAAACGCCCGAATGACAGCATACAGTAACACTGCCTTGTCTTGATTCCGTTGAGAGTAGGGGCGGTCGGGTAGCTTTGTGGTTAAAGCGTTCGCTCGTCACGCCAAAGACCCGGGTTCTATTCCAGACATGGGTACAATGTGTGAAGCCCATTTCCGGTGTCCCCCGCCGTGACATTGCTGGAATATTGCTAAAAGCGGCGTAAAACCATACTCACTCACTCACTCCGGTGAGAGTAGGTTACCATAACCCCGTTGTCGCAAGCGCTGATTTAAATGAGGATGGGTTGGTCGGATTCTGTGACTTGGTTGATCTCACAATGAAGTACCTGGTAACCTGGGTGGAGGAAGTCACTCTCCGTACTAAGGTACATCTGCATGTGTTTTTATTGTTTAGTTTGAACAAAAGTAACGTAACCAGGTAATTATGACATTGTACAGCACACTTCCGAATGAAAATGCTGATACCCGAGAAATTCCGATACCTTGGACAAAGCCTGTTGATCACAGGCTAAATGATAATATAATTTCATTGTCTAATATTTACACACTTTACATTAATGGTGCGTATATGTTTTAAATAGTAATACAAATGCAAACTGCGCAGGTGTATAGTAACGCTCCAAAGTCCGATAAGGATTTAGGTTACATGATATGTGACGATGCAACGATGGAACATCTAACCTTTAAACAGAGGACAGAGAACCCATACGTGTGCTGCACTCCTGCTTGAGAACTGGCTGATGGTGATCTCCAGGAAAAACAGCGGGACAGAGCACGTGATGATTCCAATAAAGTAAGGAATGAGAAACGCACCTGTCAACAACGACATGAGCCACAAGTAGAACAAATGACGACAAGACACAAGACACATCATTCTCATCCCATGGTCACCACCAGAGAATAACCAATCTCGATTATCTGTCGAAACAGTTTCCATTAATGTAAAATCAGTGATGACACCAGATGTTCGCGAAAAGGGTAAGCATGTCCTGCCCTACCGGTTGCACCAGCCACTCACACACTTTTCATAAAAAAGAGAAAGTTTGCTGCCTGACGCCGCACAGCATACTCCTGTCACCACTTTCTTGTAAATGCTCGATTGTACCTCAAAAGTGAAAGGTAGACATGAAAGACTGGAGCCGCTGGACTATTGCCCGACATGAAAGGAACGTTGACTATTATCAAACACATAAATGGGTTTGTATTACAGTGAAATGTTCGGAGTATTATGTCTGTGCCAACAAAATGCATCTTCCTAACACCAGCCCTTTTATAACGAGCACATTTCAAGTAGTAATTACAAGGTTCTTTGCCTCAAACGAACACCACATTTATTGATTTGAATTAATTGGATACAAATATTTTGTTCGTATTTTACATTCAGTCGTACTGTATTTTAGCGTTATCCAACACTGGTATGGTATGGTATAATTGGAAAACGTTAGCATTTCAATGGCTGAGAGGTTGTGTGTCTGTGGATGAATTACATGTTGTTAATTGTCTAAATAACTGCAAATCTTTACAACTCGCTTACTGATCGTACATCTCAAAGTTATATCATTCACAACGTATAGCTCAACATCAATGTTCACGGTATGCATAATGTCTGTAGCGTTATCTAACACTGGCATGGTATTATATTTGGAACACGATAACATTTTAATAGCTCATGGTCCCTAAGATTTATAAAGTTTCAAATTGAGCGAATACACGTTTCATATTGACCACCGCCATTCTTGTTACAAAGGTAGGGGAATCGCCACAGAGACCCAAGGCCCACAGTGAACCCAAGGAGCGACAGGATGTACTCTCTTTTTCTCGTCCATTCCTCTCTGGCTGCTACTGAACTGTTTCTATTCTCTTTGCGACAGACATCGTCCAGAAATATTTCACTCTCCGCCATGTTTAGATCCACAATGAGCACTTGTGATGGCGGTTGTTCAGATGTTCCCTGGCAGTAGACAAATAAAAGATTGGCACTGACTGGGACTGATTAAAGAACAGGCACAGCTTGTTCATTGGTTAGTATAGCTTGCTGACGTGCGCATAGTAATCTGAAACCATTTACAACATCTTGTCTACAAGTTGTACTTTTTATAATTGTTAAATTTATGTAACATCTCACCCGCATATTCAAAGTGGTCAAATAACATTTCGTTTAACGTATTCAAAATGTACTGATAATTTAATCGGTATATCATTTTGAGTAAATTATAACAGCACATTGCATCATTCTCAGAAACATTTCGGTTGTATACTTTGTTTGGTTTGCTTTTTAAGAATGGTGTCTTCCAGCGGCTTTAAGATATACTGAACTGACATTGGTTGCACTTGCTGTGTGGTAACTTCTGTATTCTTTCAAGCAATTGACTGATTAATATTATATCATCTGTGCCGAAAAGTCACATTCAAAGAATATGGAAGTTGAAATCCAATAGTTAACTCTGTACATTAGTATATTGGAACTACAGCTGAGATGACACTTACAGATATACAAAATCAACCATTGGTTTGGCTATGTATCTATTTAAAGCATGTGTGTGCATATATCATTCCAAGCAAAGGACACATAGACACTTCCATGCCAATGTAAATTCAGTCGAAAGGAAAATAACTTTTCAAAACAATGGAATTTATCAATGGAATTTTAAACTGCCGGGCAGAAGAAAGTATACACCAATGTTTGATGATTGCTAAAACAAACGAGAAGGGATTATTCGATGGTGATGTATTTGACATGGGCATCATAGTTGCGTTTTGGACCTTCAATTTGCAGTGGTTCGGCGACTTTTTTCAGCCTTGTAACGTTTTCAGAACGTTTGTAATTGTTTGTCAAATCCAATTTTCAAGTGTACACTTTCTTTTTCTCGACGGTATATATTCATATATACACTGGAAAGATAAGGTTGAAAACTCTTTCAGTTTCAGGCAGAACACCATTCACAGATACTTATATTTTGTGCCTGTCAATCTGACATTTATGCATCGTCTTAACAACAACTGTTACATTTTATTAGTTCAGTTAATTACCCTATCCCAAAACGTACCGTATGATTTATGTGCAGCGAATGTTAGGATAACAGAACTACTGAATGATCTCTCTCATCGTTCCTCAAATGGTGATGAATTGTTTAATTGAAATGGTTTAGAAGAAGCTGACAAGGTTTCTGTTTGCTATTAGTTCAAGGATAGCACTTTGATGAAGAAATGGAGGCCACCACATTTTTTTTATTTTGGAATTGATTGTAGCATCCTTGGTAATAACACACCATATGGATTGAATAATGTCGTCATTATTATAAGCAATTACGTGTGCAAAGGTTACGTGTGCGTAGTAATACACCGACTTCTATGCTTAAACATTCAGAGTGATAAAACACGCTCCATAAAACTGTATGACAAGAGGGTGGACTTCATCTTTCCAATTGTCAACTTTCCCTTCATGTCGAGCAATAATCCTGCAGCTCCAGCCCTTGGCGTCTACATTTCACAACTTTTGAGGAACAAACGAGCAGGCTCTTTCTACCTAGATTTCGAAGAGCGTTATACAACTCCTGTTGTTGTTTGATCAAGATTACAACATCCAGGGTATCAGTAAAGCTTTAAAAAAGTTTTATGAATACACGTAGAGGCCATTTCCAAATTTGACACATCAGTAACAGAAATAGTGTCCGATACAATTGCCTATTTTGACTTGTACACCATATTCCCGTTTTTTCAGGTCACCTGCCTTTGCATAGGTTTGTGTGGCGTGCCAACGGTGAGACAGGATACGCTCACCTTTTCGCGAACACCTGGTATCATCACTACATGTGTATTTCATAGTGGCTCATAAATTTCTGTGTTTGTGATGAGTGTCACCGGTGGGTCAGTTTAGGTTTACCTGGTGTCATCACTCTTTGAGAGTGATTCATAAACACATACTCATGGCGGTCGGAATCGTACAATCGCCTCTGTTTTTGGCAGAGATTTCTTATAAATG